ACATTCTTCATCTTCTTCACGTTCACCAGCTGTAGAGTCAGGTAGAAACTTCTGGTCAGTCATCCACTTCTAGACTTTAGTCTTGTTCCAGAACTTGTGTGCACATCCGTTTTACAGATCTAGCTTATTTATAAACACACTGTTGGTACCTCACCTGTCAGGCAGATGCACTCCGACTTCAAAGGAAACAGGACCATTACGGCGCAAGAGTTTCCGCCTCAAGTGTTGGAGGTCACGGGTTTAGGTCCCAGTGAAGGCAGGGATTTTTTCACGTGGACTTCAACTAATTTTCTCTGATCTCAGGGTAGTGAAGACGACTGCCTGTGTGTATTGGTGAACACGTAAAAAAATCCATTGGCCGCTGGAGATAAAAAAAAATGGCCTAATGGCGCTTCCCGGGCAAAAGGTGGAGTTTAAAATCTACCCAAAGTGTTTTAGTATCCTCGCCGATGGTACAAAGTTGATGCACTATGCTGAGATTCTTCAGACTCGGGCTTGAGTTAGAAGTAGAACAGAGCACTTATGGGTTACTACCCTCGTGCCATGATGTTGATCCATTGTTTAAACTTTAAACCATTTTATTTTCCATTTATTTCAGCTGGTCTCCATACTTCTGTTTGCGGTCAGCATTGTCCAGCTGGTTCACCATGCAGATAATGACGGAACTTACACAGCTGTCTATGTGGCTGATGGAGTCAAGATCGGGACTTATGTGAGCTTTTTACAGATAATGTTTTTACAAATGTTATCTGTCATACATATTATCTGTCATACATGTTATCTGTCATACATGTTATCTGTCATACATGTTATCTGTCATACATGTTATCTGTCATACAGGTTATCTGTCATACATGTTATCTGTCATACATGTTATCTGTCATACATGTTATCTGTCATACATGTTATCTGTCATACATGTTGTCTATCATACATGTTGTCTGTCATTCATGTTATCTGTCATACATGTTATCTGTCATACATGTTATCTGTCATACATATTATCTGTCATACAAGTTATCTGTCATACATGTTATCTATCATATATGTTATCTGTCATCGCAAAAGGTGCTGTTTTTATTTACGTCCTGATGGAGGACCATGTTCAGAAAACAGTTTCATGCTATCAACACCCACCCTTTCACACACACACTTATTCACACACCCGCCCTCTTACATACCCACCTATTTAGACACATGCACATGCACCCACTCACCCACACACACACACACAGAGCAGACCTCTGCATACACACAACCACATAATCAGACATTTGCATGCATAAAAGTAATATAGACCCCTTGCACATACACGCACGCTCACCCACACAAACAGACACGCTCACCCACACAGACAGACACGCTCACCCACACAAACAGACACGCTCACAAACACAGACAGACACGCTCACCCACACAGACAGACATGCTCACCCACACAAACAGACACGCTCACCCACACATCAAAGTATGCTCATCCACACAAACAACTGGGTAAACAGTAAATGTGGCACATAGTCTTCTCTTATAAGGATGCAAAACTAGAATGATCTAAATAAACATTAACTCTCTGATTTTCATGGAACTCATCATGCGTTCATAGGTTCCTACCTTGAGAACCAATTACCCCAAGATGCACTGATTTTACATATCTCTTGACTAAATCCTTGGACCCCTGACGCTTAACTCCCTGGGACTCAAAGGGTTAAGCACATTAAAAATGCTCTGAACGATAGGAACCATAAAAAGGAGGCAACAGAAAACATTGAGGTGGGGGGGGGGGGGGGGGTGTGATTATTTAGCCTTTCCATTCTGCTACATATTACAGTTGTTTTGTGTATCATTCTAGTATTTGGCAGTGTGACAATGTTTTTTCATGTATCATTCTAGTATATGTCAGTGTGATAATGTTTTTTCATGTATCATTCTAGTATTTGGCAATATGACAATTGTTTTGTATATTATTTACCAGCTGTGAGTCCTGGATGATCTTCTTCTTCTTCTTCTGCGTTCGACATCAGTCATGCTAAACATTGAGTCCCGTCTGGGTCACAAATAGGATTGTGCGTTTAAGGTCGCCACCGGTCCCCCATAGCTTCTCTTGCAATGTGGCTCCCTTGGGCCAGATCCACAGTCTTTGCTGGGTAAGGTTAGGGCAGTACTGTAGTATGTGTTCAGGGGTTTGTCTTTCTGCTCCACAATCACAGGCAACAGATTCTTTTATGCCTATCCTGTACAAGTGCGCTCGAAGACCACAGTGTCCAGTCCGAAGTCTAAAAATTGATGTTTGTTCTTTCCTATTGAGTTTGTTTATGCTGTCACTCTCTGGTCTGTAATCTCCATTCTGCCTTCTCCACTCCCGCTTTAAAGACTGCTTTAGCGCTGTTTTGGTTTCCTTATAGCTGTGTGGTGGATGAGGTTGTGGAAGATTACTCCCAGCTTTTGCCAACTCATCTGCTCTCTCATTTCTTTGAATACCACAGTGGGCTGGTATCCACTGCAAGACCAGTTCTGCTTCCTTGGAGAGTAAGCCAATGTTGGTCCTTAGATCAGCAATTAGTTTGTCTTGTTTTTTGCTGGATAGTGCTTGGAGAACAGACAATGAGTCACTAAGTATAACAATTTTGTGCCCTCTGTGTTCTTGAGTGATGAGATGTTGGACTGCAGAGAGGAGGGCAGTTGCCTCAGCTCTGAAGTTAGTGCAGATGTCACCTGCTGGTAGAGAGCCTGGATGATCAATAGGCAAGCCAAACAATTTCTTGAGGCCTCAGAGATGTGGTTTTACAGAAGAATGCTTAAAATACCTTGGACAGCCAAAAAGAGCAACCGAGAGGTTTTGAAAGAGGCGGGAGCCCGAAGACAACTTATCACAGACATCAGAAGGAGACAGTCATCATTTTTCGGCCATGTTATGAGTAGAGGGAAAATGGAACATGTTCTGACCATTGGAAAGATCTGTGGAAGGAGGGATGGAGGAAGACAACGAGAGAAAATTCTTGACAGTCTTGTTGCATGACATGGAGGTATGTCAGCACATAAACTGATTCATGCTGCAGGAGATCGCGGATTGTGGAGAGGCACGATCGCCCACACCAGTCAGCAAGGCACCTGATGATGATCATTATAATATCTGCCAATATGAAAATTGTTTCATCTATCATTGTAATATTGGACAGTTTGATGGTGTTTGTTTAATGTATCATTCTGTCATCTGGCAATATAACAGTGTTTGTTTCATCATATATCATTCTAATATCTCGCTAAATGTTGATGATTTCAGTTGATCACAGCCGCTATCGTTCTGATTGATAGGCACTATGGTCGAATCAACTCACTGCTGCTCTATCCGTTCTGGCTGTTGATGGTTGTTGCAAACACCATACCACTGTACACTTATATTGTTGAAAAGGTAATTTAAAACTTTTAGACACATTTCAAAAATTGAATGTTTACCATTGTGCATCAGAAAGAGAGTGCTCAAATGTTACATAGAACCTGTTCTGCTGTATGGCAGCGAATCTTGGAATGCACCCACATGCTGTTCCATCTAATCAATCATTCACAAATTGTAATATTTCTGCATATATATTCAACAGTTAATCTGTTTACTTGCTGTTTAAGCTGATAGAAACTGATGACCTGGAGTTTGGAATGCACTGCTGCTTATATGCACTGCTTATTATACAGTTCTTCGTCTTCTGTTTCCCTGAGAAACGTGGGCGGCAGGGTTATCAAGAAATCTCAAAGGTAATCTATCATTCATTATCAACTGCAAACTTTACTTTAACTAAGAACTGGTCTTTACAGCAGTAATGAAAAAAAAATTTAGTTGCATATCCTTTTCAGGACAAGCCTGCGACCCCCACTTATATCGTCTATAATTTGTGGTTTTTCTAGGCACTTTTGAATTCATTAGTTTGCTAACTATAATAGGAGCTTTTGAACTGAAATCCTGCCCCCCCCCCCCCACCCCCCAAATTCTCATACCACCATGGACCAAAAATGAGACAAGGACTGACATCCTAGAGGATCTGAGCATTGAGGAGAATTGGCTCATAAACAGCATCCTGTCCTGAAAGGTGAGGTACTTTGGCCATGCTAAACATCATGGTGGTGGCCTGCAGAGAATGGTGATGGAGACTACAGTTTCCAGAAAATGAGACAAGAGGCAGACTTCCATGAAGGTAGATACAGAACATTGAAGATGCATTGGCTAATCAAGCACATAAGGCTGGAGAACCAAATTTGAAAAGATAAATCATCACAAATTACAGCAATATTTCCAGTTAGAAAACATACATCAGTGAACAATATTCCTGTGTGGGTTCCGGGGCCTTATTATTTGTAATAAGTATGTGGTATAAGTCAACTTAGTAGGATATTTTTCTTTCGTAATTTGGAGTGCATTTGCCTCAGAGGTGTGGAACCAACAGTCTGCATACAGTTAAACCAGATCTGTAAAAATGGTTGTTCACGCAAAACTCAAGTTCTGGAGCAAGGCCAAAGTTCAGAAGCAGATGAACAGCCAGAACTTTCCGCCAGAGTTTACAGCCGGTGAGCGCGAAGCTCAAGAAGAAGAATATGAAGAACATGAACAATGTTACAACTTTGCACTGCAGGTAGGATGAGTTTTATTTTATCACAGCTGATACTGTTTTGTGGTGTAGGACATGGGAGGGGGAGGGATTTGAGCCTGACTATTTCAGGCCACGTAGCTAGGGGGTCGTGAGCCTGGCCATTTAACAGATGGTGAGAACATCATAAATCTTTGGAATCACCAAGGAATGTATGGTAAGCGATTTGGGTCCGAAAGCGTTAAGGCCACATGGCTACCACGAACAGTGCAGTTTAGGGTTTGTATTTTTGCCTCCGACAGAAAAAAAAATAATCCTTACAATGGATCAAATCCGGGTCTCCTTCATGAGTGCTGAGTGCTCTAATAACACATCGTACTAAAAAGTGTTTGAAGTACCGGTACTAAACATGTACCTTTGTTTCAGACGGTGTCACCCGAGCTCAATGCCTCCTTACCCAGCATGCTGTCCTATTGGTGGACCAATACGTAAGTATTTCCATACGCTTGTAGGTAGATGTTTAGTTATAGAATGTAGATGGTTCCCCGTGTGGGTTCCGGTGCCCCATTATTATGGGGAAAACAAGAATAGACCTACTGCTTGCCCAACAAGCATGTCGTAAGAGTCAAATAATTGGGGGTTTCCTTCAAAGTCGGGAGTGCATCTGGCTGAGAGGCGAGGAACCAACAGTCTGCCTACACATTAGTCAGATCCGGAAAACGGATGTGCATGGAACACTCAGGGTCTGGAATAGTTCTTAAGTCCAGAGATGGATGAACAACCAATTTCAGTCGGAGTTCACAGCCGGTGAATGCGAGGAAGAAGAAGAAGAATGTAGAGTGAAAAAAAAAACTAAAATATTGTCTAGTTTTGTACATTTGTACACAGGCATTTAGTTGTAAAATGTGGAAGGTGAAATATGGGACTTGTAAATTTGTTAGAAGAGTAATTAACAAATATGTGTCCTCCTTTTCTGCGTTCTTCTGAAGACGGAAAATTATTGTGTCGTTTATAACATGGCTGTGATACTTGCAGTTTTCGGCCGACACATCCGATAGTCCCTGAATGACAGAGGACTGGAATGGAACAAAGCCAAAAATAAATCTGCTGATAGAGAAGTCTGGCGATCTCTCTGGCAAACACTTTATACTTCAAGGTAGGGCTGAAGGGGGTTGCATGGTCTGAAGGTATGGCATCCGACTCGAGCGCTGGAAGTCCCGGGTTCAGACCCCTGTGAAAGCTGGGATTTTCTCACATGTTCTTCTAGTAATTTCACCTGGTCTCTGGGTAGTAAGATCCATTGCCCTTGTGTATTGTTACACACGTAAAAAATACCTTGGCAGTTGGAAATTGAAAAAGAGAAGCCTAACGGCGCTGCCCGGGCAAAATTTGCAGTAAAAAATCTACCCAAAGTATTTGAGGTTCCTCGCCGTTGCAACAGAGTTTGTGCACTGAGCTGAAATTCTTCATACTCAGACTTGAGTTAGAAGAAGAACTTATGGGTTACACCTGTGTGCCATGATGTTGATCCGTCGACTAAACCAAAGCAAACATCAAGGTAGGAGAAGTTCGACTAAATAAGTAAGTAATTGGTGCTCTCAGCAGGCATCTAGGCATTTTGCAGAATGTAAGACCAGGTCACATGGGATCAAACCCAGTGCCGTGACTTTGATTCTCTCATCTTCAAACCTGAAACTGCAGGCTGAGCTACCTCATGCATAAAATAAAGATCGTACAGTCCCCACAGTGTGCATGTCAGATGGGACCACAAACACCTGAGCACATTTTGCAGACATGCCAACTTTACCTGCAACTTGGAAAAAGAAACCTGGCCTCAAGAGCAAAGTCTGCAGAGCAAGCTGTGGGGAACCGTGAGGGACCTGCTACTGGTATGCGAGTTCATAGAGGCAACCCACCTGATGGTTTGACCTGAGCATACAAAACTGAATGCACAGAGAAAAAAAGAAACTCTCTAAAAATGTGATCTTTTCTGTCCTTTTCAGGCTGATATGGACAGGATACAAAAAGTCTCTGACGGAAGAGGATGTCAGTGACCTTCACCCAGAAGATACCAGTGACACACAAGTTCCCAAATTTGCCAAGGCCTGGGAGAGAGAGCTAGAACGTTGTGCTGCATATAACAAACAGTATTTGTGAGTAAAAAAATTTCTGATCTGATTTTGCTGCAACTTTCATTACACTTGTGTATACATTTCTCGTACATTAATTTCTTCATGGCTCAGTGGTGACGCATATGTAGTGGCTGTAATCGCCACTTACATATTCCATTGCAAAATAAAACATTATTTTACTTATTATTACTGTTTACTATTAACAGGCAAACAGACTGGCTGGCTCTGCATAGCTAGGTGGAATACTGATGCGTGATAAGGCAGACGTGGTTAGTGTCTTGTGGGAGAGCGTGTACTGTTTGGAGGAGCAGATGGATCACCACAGTCTGGTGAGATTGATGTAGGGGGGAGTGACGAGAGGTTCTGGCAGATGCTCGAGGCTCAGAGGAAAGGCAAGATGGACATTTAATCAGAATGCTACTGACACCATTAGTATCAGAACTCTTCACGGGCTGCTGAAGTTGGAGACGGAGCACTTATGGGAATGCCCTGAGTGCTGTGGTGTCGGTTCTTGAATCAACTCAACTGTTTACTATTACAAATATGCCGCTTGGCTTACATCTCAAAACATAGCGAAAAGAACACTTGCTGCATGCTTACATAACTGATTCAGAAACTGCCTGTAATGTTTGAAAGCTACCAGTTACTAATGCTTCCATTGCTAGCTGACATGTCAGTAAACATGAACAGAGTGAATCATTAAATGGAATACATTCTTCTTCTTCTTTTTCTGCGTTCCAAGCCCTTGAGGTTCATCACTGCAGATATCCCTCCGCCTCCATTCATCTCTCTGGTTAGCCTTCTCTTTCCAGTTGGTGACACCAAGTGTTTGCAGGTCTGTCTGGACATTATCTCTCCATCGTCTTCTTAGTCTGCCTCGTGGTCTACGACCGTTCATCTCCCTCATGTTTATAATTTTTACTTCACTGTCATCTGATATTCTTTCAATATGCCCCAATCATTTTAGTCTATTAGCTCTCATAATACATAATGAATGTATTCAGCTACTAGAATATAGATTGACTATCATGAACACATAATAATGGAGTACATAAAAACACAAAAGCAGTATGTATAAGGAGACTCCTGCCATGACCCTGTGACCCCTATCAATGAGGGTTACAGGAGAATTTGACAAAACTTGGCTATAAAAAAGCCACTGAGGCCGTAATGAAACCACTCTAAATGCTATATTTTATTAACATATTCACATTCGGACCTCCCTAAGACTACATGAGCTCACATAGAACCAGTGACATTTAACAACACTTTTTTTTCGAGATGATGATGTATTTGCATTTATAGTGCTTTGTCACAACAGGAAGTGACTAGATTTAGTCTTCTTGGACTGATGAGGTTAAGACCAGCACAGCTCGACATTTCAAAAGTGTAACAGACACACAGGGCTTGCTTCGAAAATTAAAGCTAGCATTATAAGCATTGATTCTCTTGCTTGCTTGATAAAACTAGGATCAGGAGCATTTCATAGATCTTCTATCCATGTCATTCGGATGTTTGGTGTATTGGCTGCTGCTGTTCATCTGGGCGGTGGGCAGCTTTATGATAAAGTGGTAAAGCTCTCTGGGCATAGGTACTCTTTGTTGGGTTCTTCTTCTTTCATTGGCTAAAAATAAACTATCTGTATCAGCAATGTCATTCTTGTGTCAGTTTTGGTGGCTTTCTGATTGTTGGCTACTGAGTAAGGATACAGAACACAGGTGGAAATGTCCAGAGTACCTTGATGACTGTTCTTGATTCATTCATTTATTTACATTAGACAACTTGTTGAAAGACCTATTCATGCAATTATTAAAGGTGAGAATGTAGTCGTCGTCATCCTATGACAAGTCTGTGTTTTATTAATATCTTACCCCAAACAGGGAAAATCCACAGGTCATGGGACAGTCTAATATTTCAGGTGGTGGTAGATAAGCTGCATGCATTCGTGGGACCTAGGCTGCACTCTCGCTTGTGACGTAGGTGGGTTGGGGTTAGGGCCAGTTCTAGATGTTTTGGGCTCGTTAAAAGCATCAGAAAGCTGGGAAACCCAGTCTTACCACCCTCTCAAATGTTTCTACTGTCCTGTGACATCATCTGGTCATCTCTAAAATGTTGGACTGTCCTGTGACGTCATCTGGTGTAGGATATTATTAAAGCACTGGCAAGTCCTTTGCAGAATACTGCTCGCGTCACCTGTCCACCAGAAAGAAACCCATCTCTCACCAGCTCTCCCAGCTTATGCACTCTCATACCTGAGGTGTCACTTATATCATATACCTATCCTTATGCAATACTGACATCTTGAAAGATCGGAACATAAAGGAAGATTGGCTAATAAACAGCATCCTGTCTCGGAAGCTGAAATATTTTAATCATATCAAGCGCCACGACGGATTGGAAAAAATAATAGCAGAAGGCATGGTACTAGGAAGGAGGGGCAGGGGCCGACCGACACGAAGATGGGCACAGGATATAAGTGATTCCTTGAGTATGAAAGTACATGAGGCGGGAGAACTGGCGAGAGCCCGAGTTTTTTTCAGGCAGACGGTGATGAGAGCGACATTCTGCAAAGGACCTGCTACATGATGATGATGATGATGAACCTTATGCTAGTCAGTCCCTGCCCCTCTCTTCTGGTACCATGCCTTCTGCTAGTCAGTCCCTGCCCCTCTCTTCTGGTACCATGCCTTCTGCTAGTCAGTCCCTGCCCCTCTCTTCTGGTACCATGCCTTCTGCTAGTCAGTCCCTGCCCCTCTCTTCTGGTACCATGCCTTCTGCTAGTCAGTCCCTGCCCCTCTCTTCTGGTACCATGCCTTCTGCTAGTCAGTCCCTGCCCCTCTCTTCTGGTACCATGCCTTCTGCTAGTCAGTCCCTGCCCCTCTCTTCTGGTACCATGCCTTCTGCTAGTATTTTTTCCCCAATCTACCTGGGCACTTGATATGGACAACATATTTCAGCTTCTGCGACAAGGTGCTGTTAACTAGCCAATCTTCCTTGATGATCAGATCTTTTAGAGTGTCAGTATTTGTTTTCTTGTTGGTCCATGATCTTCTGAAAACCCTGCTCTAGCATTTCAGCTCAAAAGCTGCCATCTGAGAATGTAATGTTAATATTTTTTTACTTCCATATTTACAGGGCTCAGCATGGAGGTTCCGTGTTATCATCAATGAACCACAAAGTGAATTTAACACCAAACGAGAAAACAAAGCTGTTGACAAAGTATGACCCTTATGATGACGACAAGAAACGTACACAGGAAAAGTCTCCACTAAAACAGCCATCCCTGTTTCGAGCGATGTTTCAAGTTTATGGATTTGAACTCATCTGTTTACAGGTGGGTGCGGTCTCACCGTTTTACCAGATTATTATTCATTAAATGTGACTCTGCTGTTTCTCATTGTTGTTGTTGTTCTTGCTGTTGTTGTTGTTGTTGCTGCTATTGTTGTTGTTATTCTTGCCGTTGTTATTGTTGTTGTTGTTGCTGCCGCTAATGTCATTATTCTCGCTGTTGTTATTGTTGCTGCTGCTATTGTTGTTATTGTTATTGATGTCGTTAGTGTTGTTGTTTTGTTATTATTATTGTTGTTTTTATTAATATTTTTGTTGTTATTAGTAGTAGTACAGGCTTCTGTCCTACTACTAGGCGCCTCCACCAGGTGGCGGATGGTGGAAAGGCCTCTAGATATAGAGGTTAGCCACGAATATATTGAATAAGTGGCAGTGGACCAAAACAGGTGATGGTCATTAAGAGGAGGTGAGTTAGTTGGTGGGACAGCTAACTCTATAAAATAGTTCAAAACTCTACATGGCTATCGGAGGGTAAGAGGTGCCATAACTTCTCCCCCCTGCTGCCTTGCAGGGTAAGTCTCTTTAAGAAAAGACTAATAGAGTCAAACCATGTACAAACCAGTGGAAGGCAGGGGGAAACCACTGCTGTATTATCCCTAGGAAATGATGCCTTGAAACATAACAATGTTATTTTGGGACAAGTACAGAAATTTAAGTGACTGGGCGCATGAATAACATCATATGGAAGATGCATTACCGAGATAAGAAACAGAATAGGACAGGCAAAAACTGCATTTTATAAAATGAAGAACATCTTATGCAATATACCTCGATCATTGAAGGTTAGAAAGAGAATTCTTGCTTGCTACAAACATCCAGTTTTGACGTTTGGCTGTGAGTCCTGGAGGATCTGTAGGCAGGCCAAATAATTTCTCGAGGCATCACAGGTGTGGTTTTACGGAAGATTGCTTAAAATACCTTAGACTGCCAAAAAAATCAAACACAAGGTTTTGAAAGGGGCGGGAGCCCGAAGACAAACTTATCACAGACATTATAAGGAGACAGTCATCATTTTTCGGCCATTTTATGAGAAAGGGGAAAATGGAACATGTTGTGACCACTGGAAAGATCTGTGGAAAGAGGGACAGAGGAAGAAAGCGAGAGAAGATTCTTGACAGTCTTGTTGCAAGGCATGGAGGTGTGTCAGCACACGGACTGATACATGCTGCAGGAGATCACAGATTGTGGAGAGGCATGATCGCCCATGCCAGTCAACAAGGCACCTGATGTTGTTGTTGTTGTTGTTGTTGTTGTTGTTGTTGTTCTTGTTCTTCTTCTCCTTCTTCTTCTTCTTCGCCTTCTTCTTCTTCTTCTTTACAGCATTTTTCTACTCCTCATTCTTCAAGACATTGCTGCTATGTTTGCCTTCTTTAGGCCTTTGTTGTCAGAGTACGCCTTCTGAATTCAAATCCTCAGAAAGGTGAGGGACATTGTTTCTTTCTTGTTTCTGACTTCGTCCATAATAAGTTGGTTGGCAGGTTGTCTTGTGGTGTACAGCTAGGCTGCAATATCTGTGCCTTTTGGCCCATAATGTCAGATTAAGAAACCCTTATTAGTTGCCTTTTACAACAAATGAGATTCAGAAACCCGCCACTGGGAACCTTGCAAATTTAATTGTCTTTATTATCTCCTTGTCACGAGTACCATTTGCTTTTTTGTTTCTTTTTTATTTTTTTATGGTGTCAAGATAGGTGATAAGTGATTAGAAAGGATTATCATCACAGCACCCCGGACAGATCCATAGATGCTCCAATCTCCTCCTCACAAGCTCCATAAGTGTAAAACTACTGATGACGCCTGTTCTGTGTTGGTTAATGAGACGTTCCGTCCTCTTAGTGAAATGTTTATTTCTTCCGGCTCCAGACTGCACCCCCATTTTCATTATTATAGACAGGGATACGCAGTCATGTCCTTTGGCATGCTGCTCGCTACGGTAAGTGCAGTGCATGGCATTGATAATGTCACTTCTATCCAGTACTGGACTAGCCATAGCAACTGCAGTGTCAGCAAGATAGTCTGCACGCTTGTTCCCTTGAACACCTGCACAACCTGACAAAAAGATGAAGGTTGCGGCAGCTATTCGTAAAGTGCTTAGTGTTGCAATCCCTTCGTGTCTGATAAATCCAGCTTGGATTTTTTAAAGCATATTCATCGAGTGAATTCAAGACAGGTGTTAAGTTAAATCTGTTCTGATGTTTTATTATTTACATGCATGTCACTTTTCGACTTTCGCATGAGGTAGTAACATAAAATATTTGGAAAAACAGAAAGTATACGTCAGTTCCATGGAACACAGTACAGTAAACAAAAAAAAACAAAAAACGAATATTCTGGTGACATGCCTTCATCAGCAAACAGTAATGAGAAACAGAACACTACACACATGCACGTGCACCCACAGACATGAAAGCACAAAGGGAAATGATGCTGACATGACTGTATTACATACAGTATTAGAATACAATGTAAACAAGTGAAACAAAATAACAGTAAATGATAAAATGAGCTGTTAAAAAAAAAACATGATCCAACGTATGTAGTATTGAACTACCTACTACATACGATCTGAAGATCAAGGAAGATTGGCTAATAAACAGCATCCTATCTCGGAAGCTGAAATATTTTGGTCATATAAAGCACCACCACAGATTGGAAAAAATAATAACAGAAGGCATGGTACCAGGAAGGAGGGAAAGGGGCCGACCAACACAAAGATAGACACAGGATATGTGACTCCTTGAGTATGAAAGTACACGAAGCGGGAGAGCTGGCGAAAGACCGAGTTTCTTTCAGGCAGACCTTGATGAGGGCGATGTTCTGCAAAGCACCTGCTACACAATGATGATGAGTATTGAACTGCTGTGAATTTTATAAATTTATGCAAGTAAAATAATCACCGATACAGTTATTTAGATGCTAATTTTTGGATATTTACTTTTTTTTTTAAATTTCAGCTGTTAAAAACTGGCCTGGAACTGTTGAACTTTGTAACACCAAAAATCACAGAGTAAGTAGCCAGGAACCTGTTTGAGTACTTATTGCCAGGTTGTTTTGTGTCTGCAGGCTTGAATACTTATTGCCAGGTTGTTTTGTGTCTGCAGGCTTGAATACCTATTGCCAGGTTGTTTTGTGTCTGCTGGCATGAATACTTATTGCCAGGTTGTTCTGTGTCTGCAGGCTTGAATACTTATTGCCAGGTTGTTTTGTGTCTGCAGGCTTGAATACCTATTGCCAGGTTGTTTTGTGTCTGCAGGCTTGAATACTTATTGCCTGGTTGTTTTGTGTCTGCAGGCTTGAATACTTATTGCCAGGTTGTTTTGTGTCTGCAGGCTTGAATACCTATTGCCAGGTTGTTTTGTGTCTGCTGGCATGAATACCTATTGCCAGGTTGTTCTGTGTCTGCAGGCTTGAATACTTATTGCCAGGTTGTTTTGTGTCTGCTGGCATGAATACCTATTGCCAGGTTGTTTTGTGTCTGCTGGCTTGAATACCTATTGCCAGGTTGTTTTGTGTCTCCACGCTTGAATACTTATTGCCAGGTTGTTTTGTGTCTGCAGGCTTGAATACTTATTGCCAGGTTGTTTTGTGTCTGCAGGCTTGAATATTTATTGCCAGGTTGTTTTGTGTCTGCTGGCATGAATACCTATTGCCAGGTTGTTTTGTGTCTGCTGGCATGAATACCTATTGCCAGGTTGTTCTGTGTCTGCAGGCTTGAATACTTATTGCCAGGTTGTTTTGTGTCTCCTGGCATGAATACCTATTGCCAGGTTGTTTTGTGTATGCTGGCTTGAATACCTATTGCCAGGTTGTTTTGTGTCTGCACGCTTGAATACTTATTGCCAGGTTGTATTGTGTCTGCAGGCATGAATACCTATTGCCAGGTTGTTTTGTGTCTGCAGGCTTGAATACCTAGTGCCAGGTTGTTTTGTGTCTGCTGGCATGAATACCTATTGCCAGGTTGTTTTGTGTCTGCAGGCTTGAAAACTGATTGCCAGGTTGTTTTGTGTCTGCAGGCTTGAATACCTATTGCCAGGTTGTTCTGTGTATTTAGGTTTGAATACCTATTGTCAGGTTGTTATGTATCTGCTTTATTGCTTCTGGATGTACACAAGTCTAGCTGAAAAATGATTTGGAAGAATGAACACACTAGAGTTAGGAGTTGGGTTATCTTCTTAGTACTCCAGACATGTCCACAGTTACTCAGACTCCAGACATGTCCACAGTTACTCAGACTCCAGACATGTCCACAGTTACTCAGACTCCAGACATGACCACAGTTACTCAGACTCCAGACATGTCCACAGTTGCTCAGACTCCAGACATGTCCACAGTTACTCAGACTCCAGACATGACCACAATTACTCAGACTCCAGACATGTCCACAGTTACTCAGACTCCAGACATGTCCACAGTTACTCAGACTCCAGACATGACCACAGTTGCTCAGACTCCAGACATGTCCACAGTTACTCAGACTCCAAACATGACCACAGTTGCTCAGACTCCAGACATGTCCACAGTTTTGTACGTCTAGTGTTCCTCCCTGACTGTTCTGATCTTCACTGCCAGTTCTCGCATTCTTATAATCAGTGTAGATGGACTGCTCCCACAATCCTCTGATCATCCTGTCTCTCTAAGTGCATTAATAGTGTCTGACTGATCCATAGGCCAGCCATCTGCAACTGTGGCAGAGCCGGCCAGTCTGTCAGCTCTGTCATTGTGGCAGAGCTAGCCAGTCTGTCAGCTCTGTCAGTGTGGCAGATCTGGCCAATCTGTCAGCTCTGTCATTGTGGCAGATCCGGCCAATCTGTCAGCTCTGTTATTGTGGCAAGTCTGTCAGATATGTCATTGTGGCAGATCCAGCCAATCTGTCAGCTCTGTCACTGAAGCAGATTATGTGATGCAAGCATATGCTCTGTTAACACACTCTTTATGAAAGTGAGGGAGTGGCTGCCCAAGCAGCTCCATCATTAGAAGACTAGGCTGTCGTTAGGGAGATCTGCGTTCAAACTCTTGGTAAGGGGGATGTATATTTTCCTGTAAGGATAACATGTTTTGATTTTGATGAGTCATGTACAATAAAAAAATCAAAATTTTTACCATTTCACCTCATTTTTTTTTTAAATATCCAGAAACCATGAGTTCTTAACTCTTTGGCTCGGTACTATGGATATCGCAACCCTTCGGCCTTGATTCCATGATAGGTACCCTAAATCTGGGAGAAATTTTAGTTTTCTGCCCACCCCTGGGAGTGAACCCGGACCACAAGGAGTTTGTCACCCGGTCACAGCAATGTCAGGTTTAACCAACTATGCTAGAGAGCCGGGCTTTTTTCACCTCATTAAGATCATTTTAAAAGAATGATCTTTTTGACAGTCATGCCATCTCATTAAATATTTTTAAAAGCAAAAGACACAATAAGACAAGTATGCATGCTGGAGAACATTGGGCGAGGAGAGGAGTGGGTCAGAGTACCAGAGAAAAAGTCTGACCTGTGTAGGGTTATGATCACATTTGGCCGGGTGTGCAGAGAGTGGACAGCGGGTGCTACAGAGGTGGAAGTCCAACAGTTGATTCCGACAATTCACGCCCAGGTGATCTGATTATCTATACAGATGGTTCGGTGGTGAGAGGAAAGAGAAGTGCCTGGGGGTTCGTAGCTTTCATCTCAACTCTCCTTTAAGATGGCTGCCTGTCAGGGATCTCCAAAACTGTGTGTCTCTTTCCTGGTTCTGCACTCTCTGAGACTGCTCTTCATCCAACTCTCGATGTGATCCTCCCATTTGGGTTGCTGTTTCTTGCTCATTTTTTTTTTCTTCTATTTTCTTTTGCTTTTAAAAGTGTTAGGAGTTTCTTGGTTTCTAAAATATTTCACTCGTTTATTTTTTCCGTTTAGTATCTGTCTTGTTATTTCCGGATTCTTAATAACCGATGTCAGCGTAGATGACTTATTCAATAGATGGCAACCTTTTCTGCAGATCGATGCTGCTTCATCCAAGGAGAGAAACACAACAATGAGTTGTGCAATGAGTTTTGGAATGGCTGTATGTGTTAGCCATTGTTGCGTCACAAGCAGCTAACTCCAGAACCTGTGTATTTGATTGTTTATGTTTCCCTGAAATATAGCGTACCATATTTTTCAGTTTGTAAGACACCCTACGTATAAGACTTCTTCTTCGTTCACCAGCTGTAATCTCCGGCGAAAAGTCTTGGTGGTTCGTTCATGAGGATTTTGGCTTTGTGCCGGGGCCTGAGTTTTGCATGTACATCCATTTTACTGGCTTTTTTTGTGTGCAGTTGGTTGTTCCGTGCTGCTCGGGCAGATACGCTCTGACTTTGAAGGAAGCACCCAGTTAGTCGACTCCTATGACATGCTTGTTGGGGAGGCAAAGGGTCTATTCTTGTTTTCCCTACAATGGGACCCTAAAACCCACGTGGGGAATGTATGGGATGGCCTCTAATTTTTTAAACCAAAATTAAGAAAATATTTTAATCACATTCCGTGTATAAAACGACCCCCAAATTTGGGATAATATCTAATCTTATACAGGGAAAAACACAGTATTCTGCCGATCATTGCTGAGTTTTAACCAAGGCAAGAAACATAACAGTGCGTTGTGGCAAGGGCTATGTGTTAGGTAGGAATTACTTTATAGCTAGTTACATTATGAGCAACCAGGATTGTTATTAAATGAAAGTACGGCGTATTTTACAGATCAATGCTGAGCTTCATCCAAGGAGAGAAACACCCCAATGAGTTGTGGAAGGGCTATGTGTTAGCCACGACATACTTTATAGTTAGCTCCGTCACATCCACCATGGGCAGCCAACTCCAGAACAGGAACAGACGACTGGGCATGCACGTCCGATGTTCTCTTACAGCAACTATTTACAGAAAGGTAGGCATTAAGTTCTCACGTTTATTCCTATCGATTTTATACGGCATCACAGCATCTAGCATGAGAATGGAGGTGGAGTCGGTAACTGCAGCTCTCCGGTAGCTAGAGAGCAGGATGCATGCACATTTAGTAATTGTAACAAACTCTGAAAGTATGCTGAGAAAGGTGAAGACAGGGATTCTTCGAGCAGAGTGGCAAGCTTCTCTGTGAAGGTCATGGGTAGTGAGCATGCTTTGAATCTTTTCTCCAGGCAATGACATAGCAGTGGGTAATGAACAGGCAGACAGATTGGCTGGATCTGCACAACTGGGTGGTGAATTGATACACGCAAGGCAGATGTGGTCAAGGCCCTTTAGGAACAAGCAACGGGATCAGTAGAGAAATAAGATTATTATGGCCTGGAGAGAATGAGGCACATGGGTGTAACCAGAGGGTCTGGCCGGCTCACTACACTCAGAGGAAAGTCAAGGCAGACATATAACCAGATTGTGACCGGTACCATCAGTGTTGGAACTCTTCACTGGCTGCTGAAGATGAGGATGGAGCACGCATGGGAATCCCCCAAGTGCTGTGATGTCAATTCTTGATTCAACTCAGCCCAACTCCTATCTATTTTACACAAGATTTCAACTATTATCCACATTTTCTCCCATAACAAATAGATAAAGTTGAACCCTTTGCCACTAAACATCTTAAAAAAAAACAAAGACATTTTTTTTCCAAATGTTATTTAAGAAAGGAGGGCAAAATAATTCTCTGAAACTCTACTTGAAAAAACTACAAGAAGAGAAGAAGCAAAAGAAATTTGGAGTCTTTGTCAGTTTTTATAACTATCCCGGGGGTGGGGGAGGAAATGTGGGGAGGGGTCAAACCCCCAGAGCACGGAGAAGAGGCAGGCGGGAAGTCCCTTGCATCTTTGATGACATCACGTTACTAAAAAATTCAGTTACTTTAATAAATGTCTGAATCTGGAAGTGAAGTAACGACTGATTGACTACAAATGATGCCAAGAATTAACATTTGTAACAGAGAGCAGTGTAATGTAATAATGAAACTTTGTGACGTTACGATGAGTCAGGGCATTCTTGTTAGATGATCAAACCATCTCATTTGTTGCTCTTTATATAACTATGTGTCTGGTTTCAGTCCTAGTCTTTTTCTGATTTCTTTATAATTTCTTCTTCTTCTTCTTCTTCTTCTTCTTCTTCTTCTTCTTCTTCTTCATCTCCTCCTCCTCCTCCTCCTTCTCCTCCTCCTTCTTCTTCTTCTTCGTCTTTTTCTTCTTCTTCTTAGCGTTCACCAGCTGTTAACTCTGGTGAAAAATTATGACTGTTTGTCCACTTCTGTACTTTGGTCTTGATCTAGAACTCGAGTTTTACGTGCACATACATTTTACAGACCTAGCTTATTTGTTTGCAGACTGTTGGTTCCTTGCCTCTTAGATAGATACACTCTGATTTTGAAGGAAACAACCCTAATTAGTGGCCTTCTATGACATGCTTGTTAGGGTGGTAGTGGGTCTATTTGTTCTCCAAATTGGAGCCTTGGAAGCCAGACAGTGATAGTTATAATTGTATTCTTCTTGTTACTCTGGCCACTTTTTTAAGATACCTTTATTGTTATGATTCTTCTCTCATTAGTTTAGTAATGTTTGAACAGGTAGCATACATTTGGCCCAAAAAAATAGTTTTAATTAGATTTTTATTGTTTTTTTAATTAATGTAACTGAACAGATATCTTTTTCTTCTTCACGTTCACTAGCTGTAAACTCTGGCGGAAAGTTCTGGTTTTTATCCACTTTTGGACTCTAGCCCTGATCCAGAAACTAAGTGTTGCATGCACATCTGTTTAACGGGTCTGACTGGTTTGTATGAAGACTGTTGGTTCCTTGTCTTTCAGGCAAATGTATTCCAACTTCAAAAAAAAATTTCCAGTTAATCGACTCTTATTTCATGCTTTTGAGTAGGCAGTGTGTCTATTCACAGCCGGCTGCATCTGACAGGCCATGCTGCTGACGTACCGGGTCGGGCTAACGATGCGTTAATGCAGCGGTTCTTAAACAAGAAATAAACTATCTTCGACAGTGGCGAGGGGAGACAACTTAAATTTTAACTTTTAAGTGTCTACATGCCCTCTTTAATAATTTCAAAATTTGTAGACGAACATTCTTGATTATTGCTGCGGCACCCCTGACATACGCTTACGGCACACCAGGGTGCCTCGGCACCCAGTTTGAGAACCGCTACATAAACACATCGTTAGCCAGACCCGGTGACTTCAGCAACACGGCCCGTGAGCTGGAGCGGGTCGTGGTCTGTTCCAGTTTTCCCCCCCACAATGGGGCCCCGGGACCCATACAGGGAAGATGATGTCATTATCCCTTTCAGCATAAATAATTGTTATAATTTCCTATCAATATGTTTATTCACAGTCGCTAACGATCAGCAACGAAGCCAAGAAAACCACCACACTGGGGGAGATTGTCAATCTGATGTCTGCAGATTGTCAGAGGCTGGAGAATGTTGTCAACTTTATCTACATTGTGTTCTCTGCGCCTTTTCAGGTAAGATCACATTTCCCCATTGGGTTAGTCCTTTCATCCTGGGAACACTACAGAGAAAAAAAGGGGTCATTACTTCAGTGGAATTCTAGAAAATGTTTCTATATAAACAAACATACACGGATAACTAATGAATTGGTTAAAACATGTTATGTATCTGCATGTTTAAATTTGTGGGCTTTTTGGGGGGGGGGGGGGGGTATGTAATAAATATATAAGGAAAGCAATCAATAAACATAAACACAGGGAAGCATTAAATGGAATGCATCCCCCAGGGCCTAAAAATATAAATTGGGTGAATTATACTGTGACCCCATGACCTCTATCACTAGACTAATGAGAAAATTTCATTTCCACTTAGATTTAAAAATCCCACTTGATTTGAAAGACCCCCCCCCCCCCCCCCCCCCCCCTTCCCCCTGCCGCCAACCACCATGCTATTTTTAGTTAATAAATTTGCATCCTGGCCTCATAAACATTTGCGATGGCATGAACACAGCCAATAGAATAAACTGCGTGTCTTGTAAGCAGGTCACTGTAGATATATCGGTAAGGTGACATTTATAGGGAATTAGCCTCAACTGGAAGTCATAGACCTTGCAGCTTCCAGTACAGGACTTTGCAGAACCAACCCCAGAACTTTCTGGCTGTTGTGGCTTTTCTAGGCAAATTTACGTCTAGTAGTTTGCCATTGCTTCTGGACGGTCGGCTCTTGGTACCGCGCTCGAAACCATCCGCAAGACAAACTGTCCGCAGCAGGGATCGAACCCGGCACCCCGACATTACGAAGCGCGTTCACAACGCCTAAGCCACAGACGCCGATGTTTCCAGCACAAAGGGGTTGAATAATGGTGGACTTGTACTGAAGAAGGTATGAAGATTTCAATGGGTAGAGAGACAAGAACATTAATGCGCCAGTACAGTAAAACCTCATTAACACACAAGTTCATTTGAGAAAAACACTTGGTTAACTGAGTGGTCTCGAGGTATGGTGTCCGTCTCGAGTGCTGGAGGTTCCGGGTTCAAGCCCAGATGAAAGCAGGGATTTTTACACGTGAACTTCTAGTAATTTAACCTGGTCTCTGGGTAGTAAGATCGGATGCCCGTGTGTATTCTTGCGCACTTAAAAAATCCCTTGTCAGTTGGAAATCAAAAAGAGTAGCCTAACGGCGCTGTCCAGACAAACATTTTGAGTAAAAAATCTGCCCAAAGTATTTCAGGATCCTCCCCAGTGCTACAAAGTTCATGCACTGTGCTGAGATTCTTCAGACTTAGGCTTGAGTTGGACGTAGAACGGAGCACTTATGGGTTACATCCATGTACCATGATGTTGATCGGTCGAATAAACATAAACTTAGTTAAGATAAAGATGATTTAGGTCCCAGAAGAATGCATTTTTATTATTATTATTATTATTATTATTATTATTAGTGGTCTTGAGTTAGCTTGATGCTGACCACATTACCCACCGGTTGCTGATTGGTCTATAAAATATAGACTCAGCCCTATATACCCAATGTGTCTCAAGGCAAGGAGAAGGGTTCTTTACTTTACTTTTGATTGGCGTGAGTTTTTCAAACACAAACAATTGATTTTTCTGTCTTTTGGAATTCCTATTAATGAGGTTTTGCTGTGTTTCATGAGACCAGTGAAAACCATGATCTTAGTACAGGTGAACAGAGAGCAAGGGGAAGAGCATGCAAAAGACGGAATAAGGAATGAATCAAGAATTGATATCCCTGTACTTGGGACATTGCCACACATGCTCAGTCCCCTTCCTCAGTAGCCAACAAAAAGTCGATGTGATAATAGTACCCGTTTCAGCCTGTGTTTTCCTCACAGTGTTGAATATCTTCCCTATCCCATGCCTACCCCTTGCTGAATTAGTCCTTTAACTTTATGAGTTCCAGAGGGTGTAGCTCCACAGGCCCAAGGGGTAGTAAGGAGAGACATACAATCGGCATATCATGTGCGCATTAGGCTTCTAGGTAGGAACCTATGAACGTATGATGCGTTCTTTAGGACTCAAGGAGTAAAAGTATGGATACTTGGTCTGTTCTGCTGCACTGTCCACTTGGCCCCACAGAGCCTTCAATGCTCTTAACTGATCCCATTTTATGTTTATCAGTTTCCTCATAAATGTTTTTTTTTTTAACTTTAACTTTTAGATTGGCATTGCTCTGTACATGCTGTATGACCAGATTGGCTTGGCCACGTTCGCTGGCCTGGGTGTTTTGATCATTCTGTTGCCGATGAACACGGTGACGTCCATCGCCATGAGGAAGTTCAACAGACAAATGATGAGACTCAAGGACAGACGCATAAGGCTCATGAATGAAGTTCTCACTGGAATGAAAGTAAGATCTATCATTTATTTGTAGCTTGCTGCTTGTTAAGTCTTCTTTTAGCATTCAACGACTGTGAACTTTTTTTTTGGACAGTTCTGGCTGTTCATCCATTTCTGGACTTGAGTCCTGTTCCAGAACTTGAATTTTGTGTGCACTTCCATTTTACAGATCTGTCTTATTTGTATGCAGACTGTTGGTTCCTCATGTCTCTCTGGCATATGTGCTCTGAATTCAGATGTGTTTTTTAACTTATTTCAATTGTTAAGTTTATTTAAACATGTTTGCCTGACTGCTGTGCTTAGCAAATATGGAATTATGAGATGCGCTGTGTATTCTAAGTGTGTGCGGTGTACGCTGAGTTTGTGCGGTGTACGCTAAGTTTGTGCTGTGTAGACTGAGTTTGTGCTGTGTACGCTAAGTTTGTGCTGTGTATGCTGAGTTTGTGCTGTGTACGCTAAGTTTGTGCTGTGTATGCTAAGTTTGTGCTGCGTACGCTACGTTTTTGCTGTGTACGCTAAGTTTGTGCTGTGTACACTGAGTTTGTGCTGTGTGCGCTAAGTTTGTGCTGTGTTAATAACTGTTTACTCTGTGTAAGTCACATTTTATGCTTGTTTATTCTGTGTTAAGTAATGTCTTGTGTCATGTATATAACAGTTTGTGTTGTGTAAGTAACAGTTTGTGTTGTGTAAGTAACAGTTTGTGTTGTTTAAGTAACAGTTTGTGTTGTTTAAGTAACAGTTTGTGTTGTGTAAGTAACAGTTTGTGTTGTATAAGTAACAGTTTGTGTTGTATAAGTAACAGTTTGTGTTGTATAAGTAACAGTTTGTGTTGCATAAGTAACAGTTTGTGTTGTATAAGTAACAGTTTGTGTTGTTTAAGTAACAGTTTGTGTTGTGTAAGTAACAGTTTGTGTTGTTTAAGTAACAGTTTGTGTTGTATATGTAACAGTTTGTGTTGTATAAGTAACATTTTGTGTTGTACAAGTTACAGTCTGTGTTGTATAAGTAACAGTCTGTATTGTATAAGTAACAGTCTGTGTTGTATAAGTAACAGTCTGTGTTGTGCAAGTAACAGTCAGTGTTGTATAAGTAACAGTTTGTGTTGTGTAAGTAACAGTTTGTGTTGTGTAACAGTTTGTGTTGTTTAAGTAACAGTTTGTGTTGTGTAAGTAACAGTTTGTGTTGTGTAAGTAACAGTTTGTGTTGTGTAAGTAACAGTTTGTGTTGTGTAAGTAACAGTTTGTGTTGTGTAAGTAACAGTTTGTGTTGTGTAAGTAACAGTTTGTGTTGTGTAAGTAACAGTTTGTGTTGTGTAACAGTTTGTGTTGTTTAAGTAACAGTTTGTGTTGTGTAAGTAACAGTTTGTGTTGTGTAAGTAACAGTTTGTGTTGTTTAAGTAACAGTTTGTGTTGTTTAAGTAACAGTTTGTGTTGTGTAAGTAACAGTTTGTGTTGTATAAGTAACAGTTTGTGTTGTAAAAGTAACAGTTTGTGTTGTGTAAGTAACAGTTTGTGTTGTGTAAGTAACAGTTTGTGTTGTTTAAGTAACAGTTTGTGTTGTTTAAGTAACAGTTTGTGTTGTGTAAGTAACAGTTTGTGTTGTGTAAGTAACAGTTTGTGTTGTGTAAGTAACAGTTTGTGTTGTGTAAGTAACAGTTTGTGTTGTGTAAGTAACAGTTTGTGTTGTGTAACAGTTTGTGTTGTTTAAGTAACAGTTTGTGTTGTGTAAGTAACAGTTTGTGTTGTGTAAGTAACAGTTTGGGTTGTTTAAGTAACAGTTTGTGTTGTTTAAGTAACAGTTTGTGTTGTGTAAGTAACAGTTTGTGTTGTATAAGTAACAGTTTGTGTTGTATAAGTAACAGTTTGTGTTGTATAAGTAACAGTTTGTGTTGCATAAGTAACAGTTTGTGTTGTATAAGTAACAGTTTGTGTTGTTTAAGTAACAGTTTGTGTTGTGTAAGTAACAGTTTGTGTTGTTTAAGTAACATTTTGTGTTGTATATGTAACAGTTTGTGTTGTATAAGTAACATTTTGTGTTGTACAAGTTACAGTCTGTGTTGTATAAGTAACAGTCTGTATTGTATAAGTAACAGTCTGTGTTGTATAAGTAACAGTCTGTGTTGTGCAAGTAACAGTCAGTGTTGTATAAGTAACAGTTTGTGTTGTGTAAGTAACAGTTTGTGTTGTGTAACAGTTTGTGTTGTTTAAGTAACAGTTTGTGTTGTCTAAGTAACAGTCTGTGTTGTTTAAGTAACAGTTTGTGTTGTATAAGTAACAGTTTGTGTTGAGTTAGTGACAGTTTGTGCTGTGTGAATAACTGTTTACTGTGTAAGTCACATTTTATGACTTGTTTATTCTGTGTAAGTAATGTCTTGTGTCATGTATATAACAGTTTGTGTTGTATAAGTAACAGTTGGTGTTGTAAATATAACAGTTTGTGTTGTGTATGTAACTGTTTGTGTTGTATTAGTAATAGTTCATACTGTATGTGTAACAGTTCATATTGTATGTGTAACAGTTTATTTTGTATAAGTAACAGTTTGTGTTGTATCAGTAAAAGTTTGTGTTGTATTCATAACAGTTTGTGTTGTATATGTAACAATTTGTGTTGTATAATTAACAGTTTGTGTTGTATATGTAACAGTTTGTGTTGTATAATTAACAGTTTGTGTTGTATAAGTAACAGTTTGTGTTGTATAATTAACAGTTTGTGTTGTATATATAACAGTTTGTGTTGTGTATGTAACAGTTTGTGTTGTATTAGTAATAGTTCATATTGTATGTGTAACAGTTCAGATTGTATGTGTAACAGTTTATTTTGTATAAGTAACAGTTTGTGTTGCATAATTAACAGTTTGTGTTGTATAAGTAACAGTTTGTTTTGTTTATGTAACAGTTTGTGTTGTGCAAGTAACAGTCTGTGTTGTGTAAGTAACAGTTCTTGTTGTGTAAGTAACAGTTTGTGTTGTATAAGTAACAGTTCTTGTTGTGTAAGTAACAGTTTGTGTTGTATAAATAACAAGTTGTGTTGTATAAGTAACAGTTGGTGTTGTATAAGTAACAGTTTGTGTTGTATAAGTAACCGTTCTTGTTGTGTAAGAAACAGTTTGTTTTGTGTAAACAGCAGTTTGTTTTGTGTAAGCAGCAGTTTGTTTTGTATTAGTACCCAATTGTGTCATGTAAGTAATTGTTAATGCATTGTAACAGTTTGAGCTGTGTGTGTGCTTTGTGACAATTTATGGAATTCTAAATTTAACAATTGTTTTCCTTCCAGCAAAACAGCAAATAATTATTAGCACAATCGTCCCTACTTTTTTTAATCAATGTCAAACACAGACAGTGGATAGGGCACCAGAAAGAAAATAACTCCATTTGAAATGTATTGGCTTCGCAATGTCACTTACAACACAAGATTTAACAGGGTTACGAATACTAGCATTAGAGAGAAAGTTAGAATAAGACCACGTCTGGATTATATTGACAAAGAATGAAATGGTTTGGTCACCTAAGAATACAGCCAGACCAAACTGGATATTAGACTTTTTACAGCAGAACATCTGGGAGGAAGGCGAGGGGAGGTTTAAGGTTCGAAGTTTGAATAACGGATCAACATCATGGCAGACGGGTAGTAACCATAAGTTCTCCATTCTTCTAACTCAAGTCTGAGTCTGAAGAAGCTCAACACGGTGCACTGGCTCTTTAGCACCAGCGAGGATCCTGAAATACTTTGGGTAGATTTTTTACTTCAAATTTTTGCCTAGGCAGTGTTGTTAGGCTACTCTTTTCAATTTCCAACTGCCGAGGGATTTTTTATCTGCAGAACAATGCGCAGGGGCGTCCGATCTCACTAGTCAGAGACCAGGGGGAATTACTAGAAGTCCAAGTCCACATGAAAAAATCCCAGCCCTAACCCAGAACATCTAGCACTCGAGACGGACACCATGCCTCGAGACCACTCAGCCCCTAAGGTGAGGGGAAAGAGATGGATAAATTATGTAGCTGTAACCTATAAAATGATGAATAAATACATCACCCAAAACTACTGAGAAACATGAGACAAGTTCCGAAAACCACGACACTGGGCTTCAACCTGGTATCGGTGAGACGACAAAAGAGAGGAGAGAGAAAAATAAATATGCTGTGTTAGTAATAGTTTGTACTGTTAATATAACAATCTATGATGTATCACTAACAATGTACATTTAAAGAAAATACACCACATCTAGGAACTTATGTTTTTTTATCTCTGCAGGTGTTGAAAGTGTACGCCTGGGAGGAAGCTTTTGAGAAGAAGGTGGCCACGTACAGAAGTGAGGAGATAAATCTCATCTTTAAACTGTCGCTGGTCATGGCAACGCTGAGTCTCATCTTCAGTGTTGTCCCTTATTTTGTAAGTGTTCTCCTGCCTTCTGTTTGCAAATAAAATAGTAACAAAAGGAAACGACCCTTCTCACATCATTGGCACATACAGCAAATAGTAATAAAATAATGTTGACACCACTATCATTTCAGGCAATGATACTATGGTTTTTTTTTTTTAAAGTCATTGCCCCTAAGTGCACCTGAGCCATTCTTATTACTGGTATTTAACAGTCTGGGAGGCAAATGTAATGTCTCAGATGCATATAAATATGTAGTTTCAATGAAGATAACAGCGAAAGATAATGTAAAAATATCATTTTTGCAGAGAAATAATAGGGAAATATTCAAAGGGATATAACTCCAGTGAAAGTTTACTTTTACTGATTGTCACAAAAAATAAAGAAATGCACAATAACCTGGGCTGCCAATTTGATTATTAAAATACATGTTGTAGTCATAATGGCAAATGAAAAGTTAACCCGTGTATTGTTGTGGTTTGGGAGGAGGTAACACTTGATTTAAAATAGTCACATGAAATACAGAAAGGGTTTGAGATTTATAGATTATGTACTGTGGGTTATGTTTTCACTACTTTGAAGCCCTAGCCTGATTTGAGGTGGGGTGCTAATGTAACATAACGGTTGAAGGGGTTTTCTGGGACCTCTCCACAATTGATCCTCATCCAGATGGTGGCACTTTATGATACCAGGTGTTTATCGCTCAGTGCCTTTTACTTTCAGGATATTAACTAGTGCCTTTTCTCAGCTGGGATTATCCGGGACAATACCTGATACCCAACTTAGGCTGAGCCAACCAGGTAGCCTATGATCCAGACCCTAGACCTTCGGGCCAGGAGATGAGCGTCTGGCTGCTACACTACCGCAGCGCTGAGGGTATATGGTGCTAGACCAATACTTGTGTATAATTAATTGGTTCTCAAATGCTGATGTGGTCAGTAGCATGCTGACTGCTTGTACTTCCCAAAACATTTCTTTATAACACTGACATTATTCTTTAACACTGACATTATTCTTTAACACTGACATTATACTATAACACTGACATTATTCTTTAACACTGGCATTATACTATAACACTGACATTATTCTTTAACACTGGCATTATACTATAATACTGACTTTATTTTCTAACACTGACATTATTCTTTAACACTGGTATTACACTTTAACACTGACATTATTCTTTAATACTGACATTATTTTCTAACACTGACATTATTCTTCAACACTGACATTTTACATAAATCCTGACATTGTACTTTAAAACTCACATTATAATTCAACACCTGCAGTGAACTTACATTTTGACATTATACTTAAATATATACATTAAAGCTCATATGCAGTGAATCCACATCACTCGCCAGAATGGCAGACTTGGGAATTAAGATCGGCACAGCAAAAAACGAGACGCACACCTGACACGCCAGAAGACTTGTTAATCAACATAGAACTGGTACTATTAGCCATCGGACGTTGGGGTTCATACTGAGGGGAGGATCTGAGCACCTATGGACATGTCCGGAGTGCAATGAGGATAACCCAACTAACTAACTAATTAAAGCTCATATTTTAGCATAAAACTGACACTCATGTGGATTGATGTCTCTAGGTTCAGGTTGCCTCATTTGGTGTCTTCATAGCTATCGATGGCTACCTGGACCCTACCAAAGCTTTTGTGTCCATGTCTCTGTTCAACATGCTGACTCAGACCTTTACTCAGATGCCCATGTTCATTCCTGCACTCATTCAGGTCAGATTCCAATTTTACTTTTACAAAAGCTTCTTTTTTTTCTGTACTTCTGCTGCTTCTTCTTCTGCTTCTCCTCCTATTCTTCTTCTTTTTTCTTTTTCTTCTCCTCTTCTTCTTTTTCTTCTTCTCCTCCTCCCCTTTCTTCTTCTCCTTCTTCCTCCTCTTCCTTCTTTTCCTCTACATCTTCTTCCTTCTTTTCCTCTACCTCTTCTTTTTCTGCTGCTGCTTCTTCTTCTTCTTCTTCTTCTTCTTCTTCTTCTTCTTTTTCTTCTTCTTCGTTGTCTTCTTCTTTTTCTTCCTCCTCTTCCTCCTCTTCCTCTTCCTCCTTCTTCTCCTTCTTCTTCTTCAACTTCTTCTGCTGCTATTCATTTTCCTGCTAGTGATGTTCAGATGAGAAGGAAGCCACAGGTCTGTAGGAAGTCTGTGGTGTGACACATGTTCTCCACTGATCCATACAGCTTGGTTTCCATTGGAATCAAACCGGCCAAACCCCAGGATCTCTCTCTACTGCGTGTACAGCATTCTGTGGTGCCTGTCCACATGGGTCAAGCCCCAATCCCCAGTCTTCCACTCTGTGGTGCCTGTCCACATGGGTCAAGTCCCAATCCCCAGTCTTCCACTCTGTGGTGCCTGTCTACATGAGTCAAGTCAGAGTCCCCAGTCTTCCACTCTGTGGTGCCTGTCCACATGGATCAAGTCAGAGTCCCCAGTCTTCCACTCTGTGGTGCCTGTCCACATGGATCAAGTCAGAGTCCCCAGTCTTCCGCTCTGTGGTGCCTGTCCACATGGGTCAAGTCAGAGTCCCCAGTCTTCCACTCTGTGGTGCCTGTCCACATGGGTCAAGTCAGAGTCCCCAGTCTTCCACTCTGTGATGCCTGTCCACATGGATCAAGTCAGAGTCCCCAGTCTTCCATTCTGTGGTGCCTGTCCACATGGATCAAGTCAGAGTCCCCAGTCTTCCATTCTGTGGTGCCTGTCCACATGGATCAAGTCAGAGTCCCCAGTCTTCCATTCTGTGGTGCCTGTCCACATGGATCAAGTCCCAGTCCCCAGTCTTGAATTTTTTAAAACAAATGGCTGTGGAGTCTGGTATGTCCAGTTTGCAGTCTAAATATAGTGGTCTGTTTCTTTTTTGTGAAAAGCCATAACTGCTTCAATCTGGGGCTGATAGATTGGCCAGTTGCGCCATAGTTGCGGATGACCGGCCTGTGGATCATGCCAGTATTGTTAGTGTGCTTAGAGAGATAAGGAGGCTTTTGGACTGGTGTTGTTAACCACAGGATGCTGATGTCTATGTCAAAGAGGGAATCAGTGGGCATGTGGACATGTCAGGATTGCTGTGGGGATATTCTTCTTAATGCTGAGAAAGGTAAAGACAGGGATGCTTTGAGCAGAGTGGCAAGCTTCACTGGAAAGGTCACAGGTAGCATACTTTGGATCTTTTCTCCAGGCTATGCTGGTGTAGTGAGTAATAAATAGGCAGACAGATTGGCTGGATCTGCACCACTGGGTGGTGAATTGATACATGACAAGGCAGATGTGGTTAGGGCCCTTTGGGAGCAAGCAACGGAATAAGTAGAAAAACAAAATTATTATGGCCTGGAGAGAATGAGGCACCTGGGTGTAACCAGAGGGTCTGGCCGGCTCACTACACTCAGAGGAAAGGCAAGACGAACATATAACCAGATAGCGACCGGTACCATAAGTATTGAAACTCTACGCTGGCTGCTGAAGATGAGGACAGAGCACACATGGGAATGCCTATGTGCTGTGATGTCACTTCTTGACTCAGCTAAACTGAACTCTTCTCAATACTCATCATGGAGTAATGTGTCAGGTGTCTGGTTTTCTCTGATTTTAAACAACTTTATGAGGACACTTGTGACTTTAAACATTCCTTAACAGTTGGTTCATCATCATCATCATCATCATCATCATCATCATCATCATCATCATCATCATCATCATCATCATCAATTTCCACTTCTGCCTTTGAGCTTTGAGGGGAGGAACAGTTTGCGATCCACTGCTTGATGGGCAGCAATGGCTATTGTCATTCCGGGTTAATGTAGAAGCTCTTTAATGCCATCAGTCCATAATCTCTTAGGAAAGCCTCTTGCTTTCATTTCAGATCTGTTCTTGTGTAGCGCCTGCATTGGTAGTTGTTCTGGTTGCATGACCAAACCATGTTATATTCTGTTTTCTAGTGGATTTGCGGCATGGTGTTGTTCCTACAGTCTGTCTGATAATATCATTTTTAACTTTGTCTCAGATGGTTAAGTTGGCGGCTTTTCACCGGCATCTCTTTTCACAGGTGCTAATTTGACATAGGTTAGCCTGTGACCCCCGCTTCCCTTTCCCAGGAGGGGAAAGAAGGAGCTTAAGCTATCTAAGCTCCCTGGTTCTGACACCTATGACTCCAGCCACCTTTACTTTCCAGGGCATTACCTAGGACCTCTTTTAGTCATAAGTTGGGTAGAAATAATTCCAAAATCGCACTTAACCTCCCTTACCTGGATCTACACATCTGGTCATGCGGGTGTAAAGGGAAATGCGTGAGCGGACCAAGGCATGTGGGAAGAAGCCTGGACAGAGCAGATATCGTCAACGCTGTATGGGCTGAGTTAGTGGATAATGAAGAATCTCTGACATAACATGATTGCATGACATGGTAGTAAAGCATGGTAAAGCATGTCTATGCCGTCTTCAAGGCCGAGATAGGAGACGATATAACCAGCTTCTTATGGGAACAATTAGTAGAAGTACTTTAGAATGGCTGCTGCATTGTAGGACTGAGCATCGTAAGACTGAGCACTCATGGAAATGCCCAATGTGCAGTGATGTTGATTGTGATAACATAACATAACATTAGGCATAAGTAATTGTTAAGTGCGTTTTAAACATGCTTTTTAAAAGCTGATAATCAGATTGTGTTGTCACATTGTCTTTAAAATAAACAAAATCCAAATGTTGCTGCTCTTTCAATCAGCATGTGGTTCTTAAGGCTGTGTACCTTATTGCCACTCCCCTTTTTTTGTTCTTAAATGTATGCTGTCTTATTTTACTATATTGCAGGCTGGTGTTTCTGTGACAAGAATTGTGGCATTTTTACGACAACCAGATCTAAAACCTGATGCTCGCACTATAGATCCAAAATTAGGTATGGTATTTGGTTGTTGTCTTTTTGTGTGCCAGACTGACGGTTTCTAACAGTGCATAAAACATATATGAGTTGATGGCTCTCAGTTTATCAATTAGTTAGTTGTTATTTTATTAGAGTATTTAATGTTTGTTTGTTTGGCAGAATATGTTTGTTAGACTGTATGAGATAGTTGTTTGTCTGTTAGATTATTTGAGATAGTTGTTTGTTAGAGTATTTTAGATAGTTGTTTTTCTGTTAGAATACCTGAGATAGTTGTTTGTTTGTTACAATATTGAACATAGTTGTTTGTTTGTTAGAATATCTGTGATAGTTGTTTGTTAGAGTATTTGAGATATTTGTTTGTCTGTTAGATTATTTGAGATAGTTGTTTGTCTCTTAGAATATCTGAGATAGTTGTTTCTTAGAGTATTTGAGATAGTTGTTTGTCTGTTAGAATATCTGAGATATTTGTTTGTTAGAGTATTTGAGATAATTGTTTGTCTGTTAGAATATCTGAGATAGTTGTTTGTCTGTTAGAATATTGGGGATAGTTGTTTGTTTGCTACAATATTGAACATAGTTGTTTGTCTGTTAGAATATTGGAGATAGTTGTTTGTTTGTTACAATATTGAACATAGTTGTTTGTCTGTTAGAATATCTGAGATAGTTGTTTGTTTGTTACAATACTGAACATAATTGTTTGTCTGTTTGAATATTGGAGATAGTTGTTTGTTACAATATTGAACATAGTTGTTTGTCTGTTAGAATATTGTAGATAGTTGTTTGTTCGTAACAATATTGAACATAGTTGTGTGTTAAAATATTTGAAGAATTTGTTTGTTTATTAGAATATTTAAGATAATTGATTGCTTGTTAGAATAATTTGTATTCTGTGGAATACAATTTGACTTTGCAGACACAGCTATCAGAATAGATAATGGAACGTTCACATGGGACGAGGAGTTACCTCAGCCAACTCTGAAAAAGTAAGGATTCGCTGTATGAACGTGGTGTTAGTTTTATACTCTGAGTAGTATGGTTTCTTTTTTGACAGTGTCGTGTTATTGTCAGTCAACGTAACAATGACAGTGTTGTGTTATCGTCAGTCAACGTAACAATGACAGTGTTGTGTTATCGTCAGTCAACGTAACAATGACAGTGTTGTGTTATCGTCAGTCAACGTAACAATGACAGTGTTGTGTTATCGTCAGTCAACGTAACAATGACAGTGTTGTGTTATCGTCAGTCAACGTAACAATGACAGTGTTGTGTTATCGTCAGTCAACGTAACAATGACAGTGTTGTGTTATCGTCAGTCAACGTAACAATGACAGTGTTGTGTTATCGTCAGTCAACGTAACAATGACAGTGACATATGCTATGTGTTCTTGCTGCACTGTCCTCTTAATCCTGTTGCCCCAAGAGGACAAAACGTAGCCGCTTCCGGCTGTTTCAGTCCAGTGAATACTGATATGTGGCCATGGCTGCAGCTACCTGTTTTTTTCCCTGTGTAGGTTCCGGGGGCACTATTACAGGGAAAACAAGAATAGACCCACTGCCTGCCCTAAAGCATGTCGTAATTTGGGGCTTCCTTATAAGTCGGAGTGCATCTGCCTGAGAGGCAAGGAACCAACAGTCTGCATACAAATTAGTCAGATCTGTAAAACAATTGCACACTCAACACTGAGTATCTAGGATTTTTTTGTCTGCTGTACCGGCACGTGGCTTGTCTTGTAAGCCCGTGACAGTAAATCTATTCTGCACACACCAAGACACCTACAGAGCACACAAAAGACTTTAATGGAAATACAACAGCACACAGTTGACCTCAGAACTCGTGGGTTTCCCATTCGAAATCAAGGACATGAGGGCTTTACAAATAACCTCTTACTCCTATCATGTTCTCCTGGATAGTACTGGGTCTGCTGAGTGCCAGGTGAAGTGGGCAAGAACAGATCAAATCACAATAACCAATACAAACCAACCTTAGCTACCAGACTGACAATAATCTACAGCTATAAACAAGCTGTACACAAATCCTGTCTCTGTCAGACGGGGTATAAGACAAAGATATTGCTACAGTCTAACCGAACACAGAAACCATCGGTCACTACAACTATAAGCAACACACTACTATATAACTGTCAAACTAGCAGAAGTCACCGTCACATGTCCTCGAGTCGTCTGTCCCTGATTACTCGCCATCCCCTAGTTTTATTGCAGTCCACCATTCAGCTTTTGACTTCGGGGGACTCGAGAATTCTCCTAAGAAAACAGCTCAGTCCCTCATGCATTATACAGTTTTCTGTTTGTCTGGTTGAACTCTGGGTCTTGTATTGGTCTGTCAGTACACATAAAGATTCACTACTATCATTCCCTTCATCCCATAGCTGCACTAGACTGATACTCAAGTTTAGGAATAGGACTGCAGTCTGGAAGTGGACGAACAACCAGAACTTTCTGCCAGAGTTTACAGCTGGTGAACGCAAAGAAGACAAAGAAGAAGAAGTCAGTTTTGTCAGGTAAGTTTTCTCTCAGAGAGAGAGAGACTGAGCCACATGGGAGCAAACTGCAGTGAGCCATTCCTCTCTCTTTTAAAGGCTTAGTGTTAGTCATGTTATTTTAGTTTATTCATAAAGCAATCAAGTTATTATTCATTTTTCATTTAAAGTCCATTCTTTTCACATCAGCATAAACTTGGACATCAAGCCAGGATCACTGGTGGCTGTGGTGGGCACAGTGGGCTGTGGTAAATCATCTCTACTGTCTGCAATCATGGGGGAGATGACCAAGCTAAAGGGCACCGTCACCGTGAAGGTAGGAGATGAATTTTCAGTTTTTTCATAATATCCTACCCCAGATGCCGTCGTAGGACAGTCCAACATTTTAGAGGATGGTAAGACTGGGTTTCCCGGGTGTCTGATGATTTTAATAACCCTAAAACATCTAGAACTGGCTGTAACCCCAACCTGCCTACGTCTCACGAGAGAGTGCAGCCTAGGTCCCATGACTGCATGCAGCCTAGGTCCCACGACTGCTTTCAGCCTGTCTACCACTCCCTGAAAAATTTGACTGTCTCGTGACCTGTGGATTTTCCCTGTTTGGGGTAGGATGTTGAGAAAGCACCGAAATTGCAGTCTATTTCTCCATTCCATTCCATCCTGTGCAATCACTTCAATACAATGGATGAAATCCAGTCCAGTACCTTTGGCCTCACTCATCAACTTTCACCTCAGGGTTTCTCTTGCATGGCGTCCTTGTTCCTTTCTGCTTCCAGTTTCTGTGCCTGTTTGATGATTCACTGTTGGTCTTTGCTCAGAATGGTCATAGTGAGCAGTTTGGAGCCTATCAGTCTGCATGTCAGACCACCCACTTCCATGGAGTGCTTTTCAACAGTAACCTAACCATCATACATGCACTCTGTGCATTGCCACTTGACTCATTTGTTTACCAGAACGGTGTCCTTATCTGCAAGTTTCTGTAACAAAGAATTTGGGGTGGGGGAGGGGGGGGGGACAGGGTGCTGGGAGCTGGCTCTCATGTTCAACCCTCCACCTTTCTCATCCGGGCTTGGGACTAGCAATATCAGAGATATTGAGGAGAAAGCAAATGTTTAAAAAAAATTTTTCTTTAAATTATATCTTATATGTGACAGCCTTTCTGTATGGATTAGTTGCTAGGAAATCGTCATCCTATACTATGCATCCCCGTGTGGGTTCAAGAGCCCCACTGTGGGAAGAACGAGAAGAGACCCCCCTGCCTGCCCAAAGGCACGTCGTAGGAGTCCACTAATTGGTAGCTTCCTTCGAAGTCAGAGTACATCTGCCTGAGAGGCAAGGAACCAACAGTCTGCATGCAAATTAGTTAGTCCTGTGAAATGGATGTGCACGCAACACTCGGTTTCTGGAACAGGACTAGAGTCCAGAAGTGGACGAGCAACCAGAACTTTCTGCCGGAGTTTACAGCCGCTGAACGTGAAGAAGAAGAAGATATACTATGCAGATTAGCATTGACTACCATGTTTTGCCATCCCATATGATAACCAGAGAATAGACCCTGTCAGTCTTCTTGTCTTGCCCCTTCCGCCCGCCATCCTTGTAGCTAAGCCATACAGTTATTTATCTCGTTGCTTTTTTCCTTGCTCTTTTTTCATCAGTCTTGCTAGTAGATAACCATGCTCACATGACTTTTCCTTCTTACAACTTATGGCCATAACCATTGGCCGTTGAATTAACCGTATGTGTCGATTCCTCCCTACCCAACCAAAAAAAAAATGGTTGACATTCCATTTATGGCGACAGCTTTTATCGAGTTTGCTTTCTAGATAGTCGAAGTCTCCTGTTGATGAGATTCTGTTTCCCCGAGTGGACTGCTGCGATCAAAACATTGTGATGGCAGCGTGGGCGATGCTGCCAACACTATTGGTCATTACCCCGCCATGACATAGCACAACCACAATACATGCTGCTCCCATGAAAAACACACAGTATCCTGTGTTGGAAATGCGCACAAAATAGCAGTCCATGATTAGGAAGCAGAACAATCCCAGAGAATTGACAACCAGCGGAGAAAAAAAAAACACAGCTGCTATCTGCCATTTTGAAAACGGAAGTCTCTTATAAGATATGAGAAAACACACTAACCACATCTAAATTTCCTTGTCAGTTTATGACTTTTGTCTGCCTTGAGGTTGACTGCCTCAGTTTTTCTATCATTCCATAATATTCTTTGCATTCTTCTCAAGCCCCACTTCTCCGCTGAGAGTACATGCTTTGAAGATGGACAGATAGATAGGAACTGACTCACTGAGCATGTTGAGAAAGGTGAGGACAGGCATGCTGCTTCGTGCAGAGTGGCAAGCATCACTTCATATGTACCTGTGGATATTTTCTCAGTTTCATGCCAGTGTGTTTGGAAATGAGCAGGCAGATCGACTGGCTGGCTCTGCACCACTTAGTGGTGAAATGATGCAATATGATGGATGTTGAGAGGGTCTTTAGGAGCGAGTGAACAGTACGAAGGTGCCGATAGATCATTACGGTCTGAGGAGAATGGCGCTGCAACGAATTACCAGGGAATCTGGCCGACGCTCAACACTCAGGGGAAGGATGAGGCAGATTTACAATCAGACGGTTACCGGTACCATTGGAATTGGAACTCTTCGCTTGCTGCTGAAGATCTGGACGGTTTACTTATGGGAGTGTACTGAGTGCTGTGATGTCGATTCTTAATTCAACATTCAACAGATGGACAAATAGAACATTAGAATCATCATCATTATGTGCCTTGCCGATTAGCGTGGGCTATCATGTCTCTCCACAAACTGTATCAGTTTGTGTGCCGACACACCTCCATGCCATGCAACAAGACTGTCAAAAATCTTCTCTCATTGTCTTCCTCTATCCCTCCTTCCACAGATCTTTCCAGTGGTCACCACATGTTCCATTTTCCCTCTTCTCATAATATGGCCGAAAAAATGATGACTGTCTCCCTCTGATGTTTGTGAAAAGTTGTCTTCAGGCTTTTGCCTCTTTCAAAACCTCTTGGTTGCTCTTTTTGGCAGAACAAAAGGACAAAGAACATTACAAGGATTCTCTTAAAACTGCTCTTAGATCGTTTGGCACCTAGACAGAAACATGGGGAGGCTATTGCATGAGACTAATCAGGGTGGCGTAGAGTCCTCAATGGTACATTAGCCGTCGCTAGTGCGCTTACAATTGAAAAGGTATGGCTGCAGACCAGAAAGAAACCCTTGGCAAAACACACCTCAACATGTATCCATTCATTGTCCACACTGCTCAAGAATTTTTCGGGGCTCAAATCCGACTCATCCGCCATCTTCAGACTGAGTGTCATTATTAAGTTTGGATGTAAAGTGGTCTTTATAACTTGTGATGTACGAACAACACAACACAGTTTGTTTTTAGCTTGGAACTGAATGACTTAGATGACACTGCTGTGTGTTTCAGAGCGACATGGCGTATGTGCCCCAAGAAGCTTGGATACAGAATAAAACTCTGCGGGAGAACATCCTCTTTGGGACTGAGTACAAACCTTCTCTGTATGAACGGGTGCTGGAAGCTTGTGCCTTGAAGACAGATCTGGAGATCCTGCCCGGTGGGGACTTAACAGAGATTGGAGAAAAGGTATGCCACTCTTTTGTTGTTTGAGAAAAAGAAGGCCTCTCTTTTGTTGTTTGAGAAAAGGTATGCCTCTCATTTGTTGTTTGAGAAAAGGTGCCTCTCATTTGTTGTTTGAGAAAAGGTGTGCCTCTCTTTTGTTGTTTGAGAAAAGGTGTGCCTCTCATTTGTTGTTTGAGAAAAGGTGAATCTCTTTTGTTGTTTGAGAAAAGGTGTGCCTCTCATTTGTTGTTTGAGAAAAGGTGCCTCTCATTTGTTGTTTGAGAAAAGGTGCCTCTCATTTGTTGTTTGAGAAAAGGTGCCTCTCATTTGTTGTTTGAGAAAAGGTATGCTCTCATTTGTTGTTTGAGAAAAGGTGCCTCTCATTTGTTGTTTGAGAAAAGGTGTGCCTCTCATTTGTTGTTTGAGAAAAGGTGCCTCTCATTTGTTGTTTGAGAAAAGGTGCCTCTCATTTGTTGTTTGAGAAAAGGTATGCTCTCTTTTGTTGGTTGAGAAAAGGTGTGCCTCTCATTTGTTGTTTGAGAAAAGGTGCCTCTCATTTGTTGTTTGAGAAAAGGTGTGCCTCTCATTTGTTGTTTGAGAAAAGGTGCCTCTCATTTGTTGTTTGAGAAAAGGTGCCTCTCATTTGTTGTTTGAGAAAAGGTGTGCCTCTCATTTGTTGTTTGAGAAAAGGTGCCTCTCATTTGTTGTTTGAGAAAAGGTGTGCCTCTCTTTTGTTGTTTGAGAAAAGGTGCCTCTCATTTGTTGTTTGAGAAAAAGTGTGCCTCTCATTTGTTGTTTGAGAAAAGGTGCCTCTCATTTGTTGTTTGAGAAAAGGTGTGCCTCTCATTTGTTGTTTGAGAAAAGGTGTGCCTCTCATTTGTTGTTTGAGAAAAGGTGTGCCTCTCATTTGTTGTTTGAGAAAAGGTGCCTCTCATTTGTTGTTTGAGAAAAGGTGTGCCTCTCATTTGTTGTTTGAGAAAAGGTGTGCCTCTCATTTGTTGTTTGAGAAAAGGTGCCTCTCATTTGTTGTTTGAGAAAAGGTGTGCCTCTCATTTGTTGTTTGAGAAAAGGTGCCTCTCATTTGTTGTTTGAGAAAAGAAAACGCAACTTTTAGCTGTTTACTATTGTGTAAGTTAAAGAATTTAAATATCTAGAGCCAGAGTGCAGAAGGCACATGCTGGCACCTTGCTGCAAAACAGCAAATAAATAATAGCATTCTTATCCCTACTTTATGTTATCAGTGCCAAACATGGACAGTGAATTGAATCCTAACCTGCATGATCAATGGCAACAGCACTAGCCATGCAACCTTAAACCCTCAGACTCAAAGTGCCCCCCCCCCCCCCCCCACCCCGCCTACACTGCAGAAGTTGTGGACAGATATTTCAGTGCAGGTGATATTCGAGAACAGATGGTATTTGAGTTTAGATGGTGTTTGAGTTCAAGTGATTTTTGAGGATACGTCATATTTAAGTACATGTGAAACTTAAAGACAGGGAAAATTTCAGGAAAGGTGATTTTTTTTTTTTTTTCAAGTACAGGTGATATTTGAGGAAAAGTGACTTTTGAGTTCAGAGGATGTTTGAGGACATATGATATTTCTGGACAGGTTATGTTTGCGATCAGGTTATCTTCTTCGTCTCCTTCTTCTTTCATTCACCTGAAACAAGTTGTCTATTTCAGCAAATTCATTGATCAGGTAATGTTTTGGGACAGGTGATAATTGAGATCAGGTACTGTTTTGGCACAGGTGATAATTGAGATCAGGTACTGTTTTGGCACAGGTGATAATTGAGATCAGGTACTGTTTTGGCACAGGTGATAATTGAGATCAGGTACTGTTTTGGCACAGGTGATAATTGAGATCAGGTACTGTTTTGGGACAGGTGATAATTGAGATCAGGTACTGTTTTGGGACAGGTGATAATTGAGATCAGGTACTGTTTTGGGACAGGTGATAATTGAGATCAGGTACTGTTTTGGCACAGGTGATAATTGAGATCAGGTAATGTTTTGGCACAGGTGATAATTGAGATCAGGTAATGTTTTGGCACAGGTGATAATTGAGATCAGGTACTGTTGTAAGGCAGGTGATGTGTGAGGACAGGTTGTTTTTTTAGGTCGCACAGGGTTTGAAGCTGTGGATAGATAAGCTTGTGGACTTCATGTTATCCTACAGGGTATCAACATATCTGGCGGACAGAAGCAGCGAGTGTCCCTGGCAAGGGCGGTCTACAGCCGGGCGGATATTTATCTGCTGGACGACCCGCTGAGCGCCGTGGACAGCCATGTGGGCAAGCACATTTTTGAAAATGTCATTAGCAGCAAAGGGGTTCTCAAGGGGAAGGTGAGTCGGCTTGTTGCAGGTGTCTTGCTGCAGGTGTCTTGCTACAGGTGTCTTGTTGCAAGTGTCTTAATACTGGTGCCTTATTGCAGGTGTCTTCTTGCAGGTGTCATGTTAGGGTGTCTTTGTTGCAGGTGTCATGTTTCAAGTGTCATGTTGCAGGTGTCTTGTTGCAGGTTTCATGGTGCTAGTGTCATGTTGCAGGTGTCATGTTGCAGGTGTCATGTTGCAGGTGTCATGTTGCAGGTGTCTTGTTGCAGGTGTCATGTTTCGAGTGTCATGTTGCAGGTGTCTTGTTGCAGGTGTCATGTTGCAGGTGTCATGTTGCAGGTGTCATGTTGCAGGTGTCATGTTGCAGGTGTCATGTTGCAGGTGTCATGTTGCAGGTGTCATGTTGCAGGTGTCATGTTTCAAGTGTCTTGTTGCAGGTGTCATGTTGCAGGTGTCATGTTGCAGGTGTCATGTTGCAGGTGTCATGTTGCAGGTGTCATGTTTCAAGTGTCATGTTGCAGGTGTCTTGCTGCAGGTATCATGGTGCTAGTGTCATGTTGCAGGTTTCATGGTGCTAGTGTCATGTTGCAGGTGTCTTGTTGCAGGTGTCATGTTTCAAGTGTCATGTTGCAGGTGTCTTGCTGCAGGTATCATGGTGCTAGTGTCATGTTGCAGGTGTCATGTTGCAGGTGTTATGTTTCTAGTGTCATGTTGCAGGTGTCTTGTTGCAGGTTTCATGTTTCAAGTGTCATGTTGCAGGTGTCATGTTTCAAGTGTCATGTTGCAGGTGTCTTGCTGCAGGTATCATGGTGCTAGTGTCATGTTGCAGGTGTCATGTTGCAGGTGTCATGTTTCAAGTGTCATGTTGCAGGTGTCATGTTTCAAGTGTCATGTTGCAGGTGTCTTGCTGCAGGTATCATGGTGCTAGTGTCATGTTGCAGGTGTCATGTTGCAGGTGTCATGTTTCAAGTGTCATGTTGCAGGTGTTATGTTTCAAGTGTCATGTTGCAGGTGTCATGTTGCAGGTGTTATGTTTCAAGTGTCATGTTGCAGGTTTCATGTTTCAAGTGTCATGTTGCAGGTGTTATGTTTCAAGTGTCATGTTGCAGGTGTCTTGTTGCAGGTGTCTTGTTGCAGGTGTCTTGCTGCAGGTATCATGGTGCTAGTGTCATGTTGCAGGTGTCATGTTGCAGGTGTCATGTTTCAAGTGTCATGTTGCAGGTGTTATGTTTCAAGTGTCATGTTGCAGGTGTCATGTTGCAGGTGTCATGTTGCAGGTGTTATGTTTCAAGTGTCATGTTGCAGGTGTCTTGTTTCAAGTGTCATGTTGCAGGTGTTATGTTTCAAGTGTCATGTTGCAGGTGTCTTGTTGCAGGTTTCATGGTGCTAGTGTCATGTTGCAGGTGTCTGTTGCAGTAAAAAGGTGTCTTTGGTATCCTGGGAAGTAAAGGTGGCCGGCCTGATAATGACCACATCACCCACTGAGTGCTGACTGCTTAAATATAGTTAGCACCATATACCTTATGGTTTTGAAGGCATCGAATTAGAACCTGACTGTTCACACATAAATATAAGAAATTCTTTTTCTTCTTCCTGTTCACCAGCTGTAAACGTCAGCAGAAAGTTCTGGTTGTTCATTCACTTCGGGACTTTACTCTTGTTCCAGAACCCCAGCCTTTTGTGCACATTCAGCTTATTTTTATGCAGACTGTTGGTTCCTCACCTTTCAGGTGAGATGCCTTCAACATTGATGGAAGCGTCCCATATTAGTCCACCTCTGATGAGATGTTTGTTGGGGGGGGGGGGGGGGGGGGGGGGGGAAGGGGGGTGTATTTCTTCCTGCCTTCCTCCCCCCACACATGGAATAAGAAATTCAAGACTGGAGACTCAGATCTTTGCCCATGTGGACAAGCATCCCAGAACACACAGCAAGTGCTGCAGATGTGCTCTCTGCATAAAGTCAAGAAATCCCGGATCTAGCTGACTGACATTCCAGTGAAAACCGAGCTGTGTGGATCAATGGAAGACATGATTGCACCACAGCCTTCATAGAGGCATATCTTCTCATCTGAAAATTACTGGCAGGGAGAATTTAAAAAAAGAAGAAGCTTTTGTACATGTAGAATTTGAGGTGCCAAATGTGGACAATTACATCCCCCAATGAACTTAAAATTGTGACAGCAGAGATGAAATGCCTTAGAAAAGCTGCAGGAGTTTCAAGGAAAGACAGAATACAAAATCATGAAATCAGACGAATGCTAGAGAATAAAGCCAGTCTTACAGGTCATCAAAGAACAACAAATAAAGTGGTTTGGACAACTAACAAGAGTGCCCTGGCACTATCTGCCACAGCGAGCCCCACTAAAACGTTACAACGGGTTTAGAGCGAGTGGAAGACCTCGGAAAATATGGAGTGATGGCATTAAGAACAGCCTTACAGAAATGAACATCAGTCTTAATAGTGCTCTTGAGAAAGCTCATCAAGGAATGTTACCTCTCCTGCCACCACTTCGCCGAGGTACAAGGTGGAAGAGAAGAAGAAGAAGAAGAAGAAGAAAGAGTGGAATCTTACCTGAATGAGTGCGGCAGTGTACAAGGCATTTGAGTCAATGTTTGAGTCATGTTGAACAGCGACATGGACATAAATGCTTTGGTAGGATCCAGATAACCAAAAATGAAACAAATGAGGCAACTTGATCCTTGAGATTTTTAGGTTTAGGTTTAGACGACAAATCAGTATCATGGCACAAGGGTAGTAACCCATTAGTGTTCTGTTCTGCTTCTGACTCAAGCCTGAGTCTGAAGAATCTAAGCACAGTGCATGAACTCCATAGCACCAGCGAGGATCCTGAAATACTTTGGGTACATTTTTAACTCCAAATTTTGCCCGGGAGCGCTGTTAGGCTGCTCTTTTTCGATTTCCAACTGCCAAGGGATTTTTTACATGAGCAACAATACACACGGGCGTCCAATTTTTCTACTCTGAGACCAGGGAAATTACTAGTAGTCCACATGAAAAAACCCCACCCTTCACTGGTGTTTGAACCCGGGACCTCTATCACTCGAGGTGGATGCCACGCCTCGAGACCATGCAACCTCCTGAACCTAAAGACATAAAGGAGAAGAAGAACCTAATATTTGATCTGTACCTCACACCATTGTGTTTCCTTGTTCTCACAGACAAGAGTGCTGGTCACACATGGCGTTCACTGGCTGCCTCTGGTGGACACGATCATTGTACTCAAAGATGGAGAGATCACAGAGAAAGGCAGCTTTGAACAGTTGGTGTCCCACGATGGAGAGTTTGCTCAGTTCTTGAAGGAGTTCTTCATACAAGAGGCAGAGTCTGAAGATGAGGGCAAGAAGGAGAAAGAAGATCCAGAAAGTTAGTTCTTGAAATTTTCTGTTTTCGTTCCTTTGATGTTTCTGTTCCTCTGCCTTCTGTTCTAAAGTCCTTCTTTCAAACAATCATTGTCAGAGGCCTTCCAAATGTACAGTGTGAGAGACAGATTAAAAACTCCAACATCCATGAGGAACTTGGTGACCCCAGCATTCATGCAAGGACTGGAAAGAACTGAAATGTTACAGAAAAGTTCAAGAAGAGAGTAGCTGTAGAAAATAGGACTTGACAAGATGTGTTTGTTGTGTTTTGACCGCTAGACTTTTTTGTAATTGATTTAGTTTAGAGATGGTCAAGGCAACAACATTTAATTTGTGGTAATGTGCTTGTTGATTGGTATTCTAATTTAAGTGTTAGTATGAGTAGGCAGTCTAATGTCGTGTGTTGTGTACAGTCCAGTATGATTAGTAATATTTGTTTGAAGTACCTTAACATTGTCTAAGTAAGGTGGTTCGCAAAGGGGGTTTGGCAGTGAAAAACTAGAATGTTGAATTAAAAATCAACATCACAGCACTCGGTATATCCCCATAAGCGCCCCTTCCCCATATTCAGCAAGCGGAGAGTTAAAATTCCGATGGTACCAGTAACTGTCTGATTGTATATCCATCTTGCCTTTCCCCTGAGTGTTGAGCGTCGGCCCGATCCCCTTGAAATTCCTCACAGTGCCATTCTCCTCAGACCGTAAAGATCTATCTGTGTCTGGGCACTGTTCACTCGATCCCAAAGGGCCCTCAAAACATTCAGCTTGTCGTACATCAGTTCACCACCAAGTTGTGCAGAACCGACCAATCTATCTGCCTGCTCATTTACAAAGACACCGGTAGAAGAAGAAGAAGAAGAGAGCAATATTATCAAGTGACTCAGCACTGTTACACAGTATCTCTAAGCACACTATCTAATGCTCTGCAGAGTTGCAGTGGTTCATATGTAAGTTACCAGGGTTCCGGAAAGAGCTTGTATCAGAGGCTGTTGGTTTGGACCCAGTTTTAGCAACCATAATGCCGGTGCATGGGTGGCAGTTGTTAAGCACCCCGGAAGGTGTATGGCCGGGTTAGTAACGGGGGGGGGACCATCTCTCGGCAAACTGCCATTGCATTATTTTCTTGTAATTTCATTGAAGCCTGATGTGTTATGTTATGTAATGTTATCACAATCAAAGTCACTGCACATTGAGCATTCCCATGTGTGCTCAGTCCTCAAATGTAGCAGCCACTCCTAAGTACTTCTACTAACTGTTCCCATGAGGAGCTGGTAATATTGTCTCCTGTCTCGGCTTTGAAGACGGCATAGACATGCTTCACCATGATTTACTCCCATGTCACGCAATCGTTTTAGTGTCAGGGATTCCTCATTATCCACTAGCCCATTCCGTACAGCGTTGACGATATCTGCTCTGTCCATTCTTTTTCTCACAATCCTTAGTGCAGTGCTTGCCAGTTGGTCAGCTCGCTCATTTCCCGTTACGCCCGCATGACCCAATGTGTAGATCCAGGTGAGGGAGGTTAAGTGCAATTTTCAAATGCTTTCTATGCATTCAGAGCGCATACTGCCTGTTGCTATCTTCTAAAGCATATTCATGGAGTCAGATACAATTACTGCCTGTGTGGTGGTCTGCTGGGATACCCATGCTAATGCTCTAAAAGCATCGGCTATTTCCATGGTCATGTTTGACGTGGTTGTCTGGTAAGCACCACTGTCCTCCTTTATTGTTTTCCTCCTTCTTTGCGCCGTGTATGCCCATGCTGACCTTGATCCACGCTTCACGGATCCATCTGTGTAGATGATGATATCTTCTGGGTCTGAATGCTGATCTATCAGTTCCCTTACTTCTGTGTCTACCGTCGCAGGAATCTGATCCCTGTAGAACCTTCAGTGTGATGACAACCTTAGAGAGGCCATGCATGTCTACTGGTGTATTCATCTATTCTTTTCCATGACTGGTCAGGCCTAGGTCACATACCTGCTGGATTAAATCCTCAGCCTTTGCCATCCAAGAGCGACCTCTTTTGAGATGCGTTCCTGTTGTGTCGTGTATAGCTTTGTGCAATGGGTGGTTAACATCTGCCGATACCCTCATGTAAGCCTTGACCTGTGCCACTTTGTATCTGCTAGTCATCGTCGGCAAACCCAGGACATAACGTATGGTGTTGCAGGAGGTGTCTTTTGTGCAGCCGAGTATGAGTTTCATGGCCTCATTTTGTACTCGGTCCAGTCTTTCAAGCTGGGTTTTGCTGACAGTGAGGAGGCCAAGACCATAGTCAATGACGCTAAGCACAAACCCTTGATAGAGAAGGAAAAGTAGGCGTTGTTCAATATCAGCTGCTGCTAGCACCTTGAGTGCTGTCATACTTTTCCTAGCTCTGAGTATGATGTCTGCGTGGCATTTGTATGACAAGCATCTGTCAGATGTCATGCCCAGGTATTTCATTTGTCCGTTCTCTCGATGTCCACACTACACATGCTTACGACTGGCGTTGGTGTACCAACGATGTGGTTATTCAGAGAGAAGCATGTTAAGAAGGCTTTGGACGGGTTCACCTGAGTTCTTGATGCCTGGGACCACTCACTAAGTCTGTCTAGTTCGTGCTGTAGCATGGTTGTAATTTCATGCCTTTTTTTTTCTTCGACGGTAAATAAGGATATCATCTGCATACAACATTGTTCTACCTAGACCTATGGATAGCTGATATGAAACTGTCCGCCTGTGTCGCAGTCCGCACGCAACTCCGTAGCTACAGCGACGTTCCTCCATTTACCCCAGAGTGTTTACTCTGGTGCCCATTACCTAGAGGCTGGGTGAACCCTGGGAACCGCCCGGTTACAAACACCGGCCGTGGGGTGTAGCGAGTCTCAGCTGGATTTAAAAGCGAGTCTCCTATCGACTGCGCTAAAATAATTGACTATACATGATTTCAGTTGAGGAGCTGAAGAAGCAGGTGTTGCACAGACTGGAGTCTTTAACTGGGGCTTCCTCGGCTGATGAAAAGGGCAGGTTAGTTTGGTTTTATATTTGCTGTGTGCATTGCAGAGTAACCTAGTTATATATATTGTTAATTTAAAGATCATCATCATCATCGCACGTCAGACATGACTGTAAGTGCTACAATCTACTGCTATGTTTCAAAGTGTTTTTAGGCTAACAACTCCTTTTCTGTTGTGGTTAATGTAACGACGGGTGGCTCCAGCATAGTTTTCCCATCCTCACTGCTGCAGTTGATACATCCATGGTAGGCAGTCTGTTGAGTAAAAAATCATTTGCAGGCGTGCAAGGAAATAAACAAGCTGATAGACTTGCAGGTAAAGAAACTGTGGAGGGCAGATGAGCCATGGATCAGGCAGACATTCTTCTCTATGAGAAGTAAGAGATTTGCAAGAACCAGGTGATGACTGAATCTGCAAACATGACTAGACTACAAGAACAACATGTTGAAAGGGCTGTGGTCAGACAAGAGCATTATGCAGGAATCCTGGGGAAATGTTGAATTAGGAATCCATATCACAGTACGCGGGACACTCCCATAAGTGCTCAGTCCTCATCATCAGCAGCAAGCAAGGAGTTCCAGTTCTGATGGTACCAGTAACCATCTGATTGTATATTCATCAAATCCTTCCCCTGAGTGTTGAGCGTCGGGTAGATACCCGCACCATTCTCCTTAGACCGAAATGATCCATCTGCGCCTCTGCACTGTTTACTTCCTCTTAAAGGGCCCTCACAAATCTAACTTGTCATACATCAATTCACCACTAAGTGGTGCAGAGCCAGCCAGTTTATCTGCCTGCTCATTTCCTGGAGAAAATATCCAAAGGATGCTAACTACCTGGGACATCTGAAGTTATGCTTGCCACTCTGCATGAAGCATGCCTGTTTTCATCTTTCTCAGCATGCTCTGTGAGTCATTTACAATTACGGCATGTGTGTACAGCTGATTCTCAAGCCAGGGCAAGACAACAGAGACTGCCTCCACCTCCATTCTCAAACTAGATGTTGTGATATCAAATGCTAGGCTTTGCTGCACTAGGCGACGTCCATTCACTGCCCCTCAACACAGAGCCATCTATTTAGATAATCACATCACCTGGGTGGGAGTTGTCATGAATAGGCTGTGGGTTTTACAAAGAAGGATGTCCGAGCTCTTATGGACAGAATGGTTTGATGTGCAATGATAATCTGTCGAGTAACTAACTGTGGATTTCCATAAGATCTTTTTTTTACACATCTAGTAACAGTGAGTGTTGTATGTAGTATTTCTTGATATAGTCTTAAACACAGTCACCCTTTTACGATTTCACTTGGAATGTTTTTCGACTGTGACCATGACAGGGCAGATGTGGTCAAAGCCCACTGGGAACAAGCAACGGAATCAGTAGAGAAACAAGATTATTATACCCTGGAAAGAATGAGGCACCTGTGTGTAACCGGAGGGTCTGGCCTGGCATGACTGACATGTAACCAGATGGTGACAGGTACTATCAGTATTGGAACTCTGCGCTGGCTGCTGAAGATGAGGACGGAGCATGCATGGGGATGCCCAGAGTGCTGTGGTGTCACTTCTTGACTCAGCTCAACTCTACTCTTGATATAGTCTCAAAGCCAGTCACCCTTCTAGGATTTCACTTTGAATGTTTTTCGACTGTGACCAACATGTATATTTAGAAAATGTCATGTGGCCTGTTGCTACAGAATTGGTGCTGCCCTATGTGGTTACACTTATTAATTGCTTGTGCAACTGCTGATCTTTTTGTAACTGCCGCTTTCATCGATTATGGCATGCATTTCTAATGTCGGACTGTTTGTGTTAGCACTTCTAATGGCTGCCTTGTGCTTTTAAAGTGAGTGTATGCTGGTGGATAGGCTGAGACTGCAGTTTGTGTTAATTTTGTTCTTCAAGGACAGTATTGGACATTCCAGGTTTTTTTTTCATTGGCACAGGAGCAGAGCAACTATCCGGTGACCGTTTGCCTTGAAGCTGAAACTGGTTTGAGGTTTGAACAATGGATCAACATTATGGCACACGTGTAGTAACCCATACCATAAGTGCTCCGTTCTTCTTCTAACTCATGTCTGAGTCCGAAGAAGCTCAGCACAGTGCACAGGTTCTGTAGCACCAGCTAAGATCCTGAAATACTTTAAGTAGTTGTTTAACTCCAAATTTTGGCCTAACAGCTACTCTTTTCACTTTCCAAATGCCAAGGGATTTTTTTTTAACGTACGCAGCAATGCACACAGGCATCTGATCTCACTACCCAGAGACCAGGGGATATTACTAGAAGTCCGAGTCCACGTGAAAAAATCCCAGCACTTACCGGGGATTGAACCCGGAATCTCCAGCACTCGAGGCAGACACCTTCTGAAGCTGAAACTAGGATTGCCAAGATGTCACCCGTATTTTGCATGTAGCTTATCAGTAGTAGATGTAATATTGTGCATTCTTCTTCTTCTTCTTCCCTTCCACCATTTACTCAATCAAGGTGTTGGGAGGAGATGTAAGGATTGTTTGTGCGCTTTTTTCTGATGCATTGTACAAGTTGGTTGTTCATTTCTGTTAGGTTGCTCCTGATTTTGTCGCTCCATATCTTGCGTGGTCTTCCCCTTGCTCTGTGTTCATTATATTTCTTCAGCGTGGCTCTCGGTGGCAGTTGGTACCAGGGCATTCTCCTCAGGTGGCCAAACCATCTCATTTGTTGTTCTTTAATGAATTGTATGACTGGTTTCAGTCCTAGTCTTCTTCTAATTTCTTCATTTTTGATTTGATCTCTTTTTGTCACACATCGGCAGTTCTCCTGTGACATCTCATCTCTGTTGTAAGGATCTTCCACTCATTAGTTGTATTCAGTGTCGTTTAATTTTCCTTACTGTGTTCTGCTTCAGGACAGTTTCACTTCGTAAACAAGTGTCGTCAACGAAACAGCCAGTGAGCTCGGCCGTGGCTACGAGAGGTGGACACGGCAGAGGAGGCGGTCCTGGAGGTCGTGGAGGTATGCGGGGCAGAGGAGGTGGCCCACCGGGTGGAATGGGCAGAGGCGGTGGTGGCGGGGGCGGACCCCCAGTACTTGGAGGAGGCTTTGACAAGGGAGGAGCTCCAATGGTGGCAGGTCAGAGGCTGGTACAAGATGAGAAGTCAGAGACTGGAGGGGTTCGTATTTTGTTTCTTAATGTATTCACACATTCTTTTTTTTAAAAATGTCCTTATTTGCATATGTTCTCTGTTGCCATAGTTTGCTTAGAGATTTATTCAACCTGATATGTTCGCCGTGGGTTCAGGGGGGGGGGGGGGCTTCTTATATTATTTCATTTTGTCCTTAAAGGTATCTGTTCTCTCCCCCATGTGGGTTCTGGGGCCCTAGTATAGTGAAAACAAGAATAGGCCCACTGCCTACCCAAAAGCATGTCATAAGTGTCGACTAATTGGAAGCTTCTTTCGAAGTCAGAATGCATCTGCCTGAGAGGCAAGAAACCAACAGTCTGCACATAAATGTGTCAGATCTGTCAAACGGATGCACACGCAACACTCAGGTTCTGGAATAGGACTGCAGTCTAGAAGTGGACGAACAATCAGAACTTTCCACCAAAGTTTAGAGCTGGTGAGTATGAAGAAGAAGAAGTCAGTTTTGTCCGGTTAGTTTTCTCTCAGAGAGAAACTGAGCCACATGGGAGCAAACTGCAGTTATCCTTTCCTCTCTCTTTAAAACGCTCAGTGTTAGTCAATAGTTATTGTTCATGTTATTTTTTTTTAATTCATAAAACAAACAAGTTATCATTCATTGTTTGTTTAAAGTCAATTCACTGTTATAGGGAAAACAAGAATAGACCCTCTGCCTACCCAAAAGCATGTTGTAAGAGTCGACTAATTGGGAGCTTCGTTCGAAGTCGGAGTGCATCTGCCCGAGAGGCAAGGAACCAACATTCTGCACACAACTGTGTCAGATCTGTCTAACAGATGCACACGCAACACTCAGGTTCTGGAATAGGACTGCAGTCCAGAAGTGGACGAACAGCCAGAACTTTCCACCAAAGTTTACACCTGGTGAACACAAAGAGGAAGATCTGTTCTCTGTTGCTATTTTTCTTCAAGATCTGATTGGTTCCCAGTGTGGGTTCCAAGGCCCTATTTTGGGGGGAAAATAATAGACCCACTGCCTCCTAATAAGCATGTCACACAAGGTGACTAATTAGGGGCGTTTCCTTTGAAGTTGGAGTGCATCTACCTGAGAAGCAAGTCTGCATTAAAAAAAAACCTGTAAAATGGATGTGCGCACATAAAAATCAAGTTGTGAAACAAGATCAGAGGCCAGAAATAGACACACAACCAGAAATGTCTGTCAGATTTCTTGGTCGGTGAACACTAAGATACTAGCAACAGTCACCTAAGTTGATGATGAGGAATACCAAAAAGAACAAGGAAACCTGATATGTGAGTAGTTTTTGGATCATTTCTCCAGGTCATGCCGGCGTGGTGGGTAATGAACAGGCGGACAGATTAACTGAATCTGCACTGCTGAGTGGTAAACTGATACACGACAAGGCAGATGTGGTCAACGCTTTTTAGGAACAAGCAACCCGAATCAGTAGAGAAAGAAGATTATTATAGCCTGGAGAGAATGAGGAGGGTCTGGCCTGCTCTCTACACTCAGAGGAGAGGCAAGACTGACATATAACAAGATTGTGACTGGTACCATCAGTATTGGAACTCTGCGCTGGCTGCTGAAGATGAAGAAGGAGCATGCATGGAAATGCTCCAAGTGCTGTGATGTCAATTCTGGACTCAACTCAACTCGACTCTTGTTGGTCCCTAAGTGCATACCAAGGATTCATACAGATTTGGTGGCTCTTGATTCTAGCATCATCATCATCGTCATCATCATCATCATCATCATCCCTGTTGTCCTTCTATATGTCACATAGGGCTTGTGGTCTAGTCCTCCGTTCTCTTCTATCCTGTTCAATCCTTCCTCTCAGTGTCATGGATGGAATCCAGTCCAACAGCTTTGGTCTCTCTCAGTAAACTTTGTTTGTCTCATGGTTTCTCTTGGACGTCTTTGCTTCCTCAATCCATTTGCTGATGTCCTTAGAGCAGTCGTCTCCAACCTTTTCCAGGTTCCTTCACCTCCCCCCCACCCCCCCCCCCCCCCACAATGACTGAATGGTAAGAGCCCCATGCCTCACGTACACCCAGCATAATGAAATCTGATTTACAAAGAGGAGGACATAAAGACAAATCCCACGTACTGTTAACAAGAACTTGGACACGGCCAGCTCCAGATATAAGGCCATACAAGCTCAGACGGAAATTCCCATTTTTGTGAGGCCGGTCTGTGGTAATAATTGTTATCGAGCAGATTTACACACAAATTGAGCTACAGTTTAATTAATTTGCAGCATCTTTTATTGAATGAATTATCATTTTGAAGATAAATATTTTCTAATAGCCCATTTATTTATCTTCAAAATAATAATTCATTCAATGGATCAACATCCTGGCACACGGGTGTAACCCATGTGCTCTGTTTTTCTTCTAACTCAAACCTGCGTCCGAAGAAGCTCAGCACAGTGCACAGGCTGAAAATTCGCAATGAAACGAGCAGTTGATGAACCAATCACTTCCACAGGAAAGTGAAGTAGGTCAAGGCTTTTCACAGTCCAACAGGTGATGGATACTTTGGTTGATCCAGACTCTGCGGAGTCAGAATTTCATGAGAATACGTTCCCAGTTGAAGTCACACAGTCAGTGAGAGCTCAAGTAATGAAGAGAATCTTGAAAATTATAGGTTTAAAACTAGATCGATAGAAAGAGAAGGGGGCTTGTCCCTCAAACAGCAACATCTGGTACTCACTGTGTGAAACAAGGCTGATCCTGCTGGGTGGAATAGCATATAAAAGTGGAATATTGATGCTAGATAAAAGGTAAACCTATTTTCTAAGCCTATTTTCTACAGTGTCTCCAAGTTTCATCTTATTCTAACCACTTTTTTGCATGTAGCTAATATTTTTGTATATCATGTTGGCTTTTCGTGTTGATGCCCAGGAGCTCAGGTATAGGGGGCAGTTAGGTTCAGGGCCTCAGGTCAGGTAGGGTTGAGAGATCATGAAGTTGGCAGTAGTAGGCCAGAAGGCAGATTAAAACCCACATTATTACACAACTCTCATTATTATAGGTGAATACACATTAAGACCAATATTTTTTTGTTGTTAGGTGAAGTTCAATGTCTACATGGACTACTTACGTTCGGTTGGCTTCAGCTCCATAGCTTTCAGTGTGGTCTTCTATGTCATATACCTGGCCAGCACCATCTTCTCCAGCATTTGGCTCAGCATGTGGACTGATGACACATATCTGGCCAACAGGAGTCTCAGCGACACAGATGAGTATGCAGACAAAACCAATCTGTACATTGGGCTGTATGCTGGAATGGGTGTTATACAAGGTTTGTAGTTTCTTTTTCTTTTTCTTTGCTATCATCTCCTGTGATCAGGTTATCAATTGTGATGCCTCCATGAACCGGCATATCAGCATTTCCCTCCATTTGTAGACTGAAAGGATATAGTTTCATTGCCCAGCTACTGAGCTGAGTTCATGGCCCGACACTGTGAGCTGTGGGTTTAATTTAGACTGTTTTTTTTGACTGTGACCAATATGGTGTCGTGAAGTGTAGACTCAGAAAAGGGTGCGTGGCTTGTTGCCACAGAATTGTTGGTGAAAATGTGATTAAAATTGACCACACATGAAACTGCTGATTTGTTTGTAACTGCAGCTTCTGTAATGATGGACTGTTTGTGTTAGCACTTCTGATGGCTGCCTTCTGCTTTTAAAGCGTGTGTGTGCTGGTGGATATGCTGAGACTGCAGTCTGTGTCAGTTTTGTTCCACAAGGGACAGTGAGGGACATTCTGTGTGTTTTTCGTTGGCAGAGGAGCGGAGCAACTAGGGCGACCCGTTTTCTATAAAGCTAAAACTAAGATTATCAGATTGCCAGATTGGTTCTGTGCATTTGTTTGTGCCAGTTTTTCTCTAATGACCTAATTCCTGATTTTTTTTCTGTTCTGGACCCTCCTGCAGCCCTTCTCATATGTCTGATTTCCATGGTTACTATTGTATATTTTGTGTTCTGCTGTGAGTGACCATGTCTGGCACCTAAAGCATAGAGTGGGAATGAGTATGCTTTATATGAGGTGTTTCTTTATGCTGATTGGGATTGTCTTCATTTTAAATTGTACTCTATCCTTGTGTGGGTTCCAGGATACTGTCTGTTCCTTGTTTTCCAAAAGAATAGACTAACTAACCCCCCCCCCCCTTTCCCCTCCCTCCAAACCCCCAATAAGCATGTCACAGAAGGCGATTAACTAGGGGTGTTTTCTTCAAAGTTGAAGTGCATCTGCTGAGAGGCAAGGAACACAAATAGGCCAGATCTGTAAATTAGATGTGCACGCAAAACTCAAATTCTGGATCATCGTGCAGAAGTGGATGAATAACCAGAACTTTCTGCCAGAGTTTACAGCCGGTGAACGCTAAGAAGAAGAAGAAGAAGAAGAAGAAGAGAAGTGCTTATTTGAAATGTCTGTTGAAAACATGTTCATTGTATTGTTGAATCTGTTTTGTCATTGAATTCTAGTGAAATGTGACTAAAAAGCTTAACGAAATGGGGAAGCAGAAAAACGTGCACGAAACAACACAAATAACATTTCAGCCGGCAGCCTTGGTCAAACATGAAGTGAACTACACAAATGTAACATAGAGGAAAGTCTTCAGATCTCTAAGGGGTGACGCGATCAACATTTTTAAAAATGTGATGTGGTGTGAATGAAATAAAATAAACAACAGCTACAAATATATATATAGTCGTCAAAAATAAAAAGTAATATTGTTAATATATAATATAATAGTAGGAATACAAGAAATACAAATGTTAATGATACATAAATGATACTGATAAAGAAAAACAAATGTTAATGATACATAAATGATACTGATAAAAAAACAACAAATGTTAATGATAAATAAATGATACTGATAACGAAAAACAAATGTTAATGATAAATAAATGATACTGATAAAGAAATATAACTGTTAATGAAACAAAAATGATACTGATTAATAAATGCAATTTTTAATGATACATAAATGATACTGATAAAGAAAAACACATGTTAATGATACATAGATGGTACTGATAAAGAAATACAATTGTTAATGATTCGTAAATCATACTGATAAAGAAAAAGAACTGTTAATGATAAATAAATAATACTGATAAAGAAATACAATTGTTAATGATACATAAATGATTCTGATAAAGAAATACAATTGTTAATGATACATAAATAATACTGATAAAGAAAAACAAATGTTAATGATACACAAATGATACTGATAAGATACTGTTTTCCCATTGGCAGGAATCTTCAGTTATGCTTTCTCGGCCTCCCTGCTGGTGAAAACTGCCCGGGCTTCCAACGTGCTTCACAACACCATGATGCACAACATCATGAGATCACCCATGTCCTTCTTCGACACCACACCTACAGGTAACACACACACACTCACCTTGATGCACAACATGATGAGATCACCCATGTCCTTCTTTGACACCACACCTACAGGTAACACACACACACTCACCATGATGCACAACATCATGAGATCACCCATGTCCTTCTTTGACACCACACCTACAGGTAACACACACACACACACACTCACCTTGATGCACAACATCATGAGATCACCCATGTCCTTCTTTGACACCACACCTACAGGTAACACACACACTCTCACCTTGATGCACAACATCATGAGATCACCCATGTCCTTCTTTGACACCACACCTACAGGTAACACACACACTCTCACCTTGATGCACAACATCATGAGATCACCTATGTCCTTCTTCGACACCACACCTACAGGTAACACACACACTCTCACCTTGATGCACAACATCATGAGATCACCCATGTCCTTCTTCGACACCACACCTACAGGTAACACACACACTCTCACCTTGATGCACAACATCATGAGATCACCCATGTCCTTCTTTGACACCACACCTACAGGTAACACACACACTCTCACCTTGATGCACAACATCATGAGATCACCCATGTCCTTCTTTGACACCACACCTACAGGTAACACACACACTCTCACCTTGATGCACAACACCATGATGCACAACATCATGAGATCACCCATGTCTTTCTTCGACACCACACCTACAGGTAACACACACACACTCACCTTGATGCACAACATCATGAGATCACCCATGTCCTTCTTTGACACCACACCTACAGGTAACACACACACGCACACACACTCACCTTGATGCACAACATCATGAGATCACCCATGTCCTTCTTTGACACCACACCTACAGGTAACACACACACGCACACACACTCACCTTGCTTCACAACACCATGATGCACAACATCATGAGATCACCCATGTCCTTCTTTGACACCACACCTACAGGTAACACACACACTCTCACCTTGCTACACAACACCATGATGCACAACATCATGAGATCACCCATGTCCTTCTTTGACACCACACCTACAGGTAACACACACACGCACACACACTCTCGCCTTGCTTCACAACACCATGATGCACAACATCATGAGATCACCCATGTCCTTCTTTGACACCACACCTACAGGTAACACACACACACACGCACAGACACTCTCACCTTGCTTCACAACACCATGACGCACAACATCATGAGATCACCCATGTCCTTCTTTGACACCACACCTACAGGTAACACACACACGCACATGCACACTCACCTTGCTTCACAACACCATGACGCACAACATCATGAGATCACCCATGTCCTTCTTTGACACCACACCTACAGGTAACACACACACGCACACACACTCACCTTTCTACACAACACCATGATGCACAACTTCATGAGATCACCCATGTCCTTCTTTGACACCACACCTACAGGTAACACACACACGCACATGCACACTCACCTTTCTACACAACACCATGATGCACAACATCATGAGATCACCCATGTCCTTCTTTGACACCACACCTACAGGTAACACACACACACACACACACACTCACCTTTCTACACAACACCATGATGCACAACATCATGAGATCATCCATGTCCTTCTTTGACACCACAACCTACTGGTAACACACACACACTCACCTTTCTACACAACACCATGATGCACAACATCATGAGATCACCCATGTCCTTCTTTGACACCACACCTACAGGTAACACACACACACCCATACTTACTCACCTCATCATCATCATCACCTAATTTTTGTTCTGTCTTTTTTTCCCTTTTGCTTATTTTTCTCCACCTTATCCTGCAGTTACCTCAGCGAAGTCTTGGGGGTTGTGAAAAAGGGGGGAGGGGGAGATAGGAATTATGATGACCTCTGTTCTTGTGTTTCATCCTTAAAAAATGTGACTCACATGTTGTAGTTTACAGCTTGGCTTTTGCCCAGCTTATTAATGTAATCAGGCAGTCTAAATTTGAAACCTGTTAACATCTTTACTAAGTGGTAGTTGGCTGGGCCCATTTTCCCTTTCCTGCTCCCAATAAAAAAAATGGGGCTCTTGTACCAACACGAGGATGACCTTTGAAATTTGCATTGTTGTTCTTGATGGTGTTATTCTACACTTTGTGACGTCTCTCCTTAGTTTATGGCAACTATGTGACTCTTTGTACCAGGGCAGTTGGTTAACCATGGCAACAACCTCTTGCAACCATGGCAACCACCTTTTGCAACCATGGCAACTACCTCTTGCAACCATGACAACCACCTTTTGCAACCACATCAACCACTTCCTCCCTCTTCCTCCCACCACGGCAACCACCTCCTGCAACCACATCAGCCACCTCCTACAACCACAGCAACTTTCTCTTGCCATCTAACAGATATTATTTTCCACAAATGGCTTAAATATGCCTTGATTCTTGCCTGCAGGTCGAATAGTGAACCGGTTCTCTAAAGATGTGGATGTTCTCGACAACCAACTGCCCAACATTATCCGCCAGGGGGTCAACAGCGTGGGCCGAGTGCTCATGTCTCTTATCAACATTACCTACAGCACGCCTATTGTCCTCGCTGTCATCATACCTGTGGTTATCCTGTATGTTTTAGTCCAGGTAAGTGCACATTTGTGTCCAGTTTTCTTCAAAACCTGACAGATTTATTGAAAGGCAGGGAAAGTACAGTAAAAGTAAAGTATTCGTTCCGCTTTCTGAAACAAGACTAAAGTCCAGAATGTTGAATTAAGAATCGACATCACAGCACTCGGGACACCTCAAAAGTGCTCTGTCCCCATCTTCAGCAGCAAGCGAAGAGTTAAAATTCCGATTGCATCAGTAACTGTCTGAATGTATATCCGTCTTGCAATTTCCCTGAGTGTCGAAGGTCGGCCAGATCCCCTTGTAACTCCTCGCAGTGCCATTTTTCTCAGACGGTAATGATCTATCTGTTCCTCTGCACTGTACACTCGCTCCCAAAGGACCCTCACAACATCCAGCTTGTCATACATCAGTTCACCACCAAGTGGTGCAGAACCGGCCAGTCTATCTGCCTGCTCATTTCCCAATTCAGCAGTATGGTTAGGTTAGTTGCGTATCCTTTACAGGACGTTGCAGAACTAACCCCAACAGCCCCTGACTGTTGTGTGGTTTTTCTAGGTAAATTTACCTCCAGTAGTTTGCCATTGCTTTCTGGGTGGTCGGCTTCTTTGATACCACTGTCGAAACGAATGCAAGGCGTATGTCCCACAGCTGGAATTGAACTCCGCATCCTGGCATTACGAAGCCTTCGCATTGACTTAGCCACAGAGCCGACTCACACCGGAATGACCTGGAGAAAATATCCAAAGGATGCTAATTACCTGGGACCTTTGAAGTAATGCTTGCCACTCTGCATGGCGCATATCTGTCTCCACCTTTCTCAACTTGCTCTGTGAGTCAGTTACAATGACGGCATGTGTGTACAGCTGATTCTCAAGCCAGCAGAAGGCAGCAGTGACTGCCTCCACCTCCATTCTCGAACTAGATGTTCATCAACTTTCCACCAAAGTTTACAGTTGTGAAAGTTGCTGTTGTAATATGCTGTCTGCTGACAGTTGAGTTAAAGGCCAAATGATTTCACTTGTTGTTTTCTAACAAAATCTAGTTCAGTTAATATTATCATTTCTTTTTGATTTTATCATTTGTGTCTGCTAGAACTCTCATTTTCTTTCTGATTTTATGATTTGTGTCTTCTAGAACTCTCATTTTCTTTCTGATTTTATCATTTGTGTCTGCTAGAACTCTCATTTTCTTTCTGATTTTATCATTTGTGTCTGCTAGAATTCTCATTTTCTTTCTGATTTTATCATGTGTGTCTGCTAGAACTCTCATTTTCTTTCTGATTTTATGATTTGTGTATTCTAGAACTCTAATTTTCTTTCTGATTTTATCATGTGTGTCTGCTAGAATTCTCATTTTCTTTCTGATTTTATCATTTGTGTCTGCTAGAATTCTCATTTTCTTTCTGATTTTATCAAATGTATCTCCATTATGTCAACTTACCATATTTTCTGTACAGAGAATCTACATACCAGCCTCTCGCCAAATCCGTCGAATCGACTCTACTACAAGATCACCTATCTACGTGCACTTCTCGGAAACTCTGAGCGGGGTGTCCAGCATCAGGGCGTACGGTGTGCAGGAGCGGTTCGCTAAACAATCTCAGGAGCTGGTGGATTACAACTTCAAGTTTTACTTTGCCTCCATTGTCATTGGCAGGTGAGCAGGAAGCATTTATCCAGTGGCATTGCCGGTCTGTCTTGACTTTGAGCAATAATCTGCATCTCCCTGTGTGGGGTTCTGGGGGTCCCATTGTCTGCATCTTCCTGCGTGGGGTTCTGGGGTCCCGTTGTCTGGATCTTCCTGCGTGGGGTTCTGGGGTCCCATTGTCTGCATCTCCCTGTGTGGGGTTCCGGTATCCCATTGTCTGCATCTTCCTGCGTGGGGTTCCGGGGTCCCACTGTCTGCATCTTCCTGCGTGGGGTTCCGGGGTCCCATTGTCTGCATCTTCCTGTGTGGGTTTCCGGGGTCCCATTGTGATGTGGGGTTAGACTCACTGCCCTTCAACAAGCATGTTGTAAACGCCGATTAATAAGGGGTGTTTTTTTCAAAGTCGTAGTGCGACTGCCTGAGAGGCGAGGAATTTTCATACCAGCTGCCTTTTTAAGGGTTACTGCAAAAGAAGACAAAGTGATATTGATTTTATGCATGTATTAACTATCAGAGCGCGGCATCCATGGCTTAGATGTTGTTAGTCCGACTCAAAATTCCAAGGTTCCACAATTGAAACCCACTGCTGGCTACGTGGATTTTAACATGGTATGGGGCGTCGCAGGTCAGCCCAGCCTAAAATGGGTACCAGGATGTATGTCTGGGGAAAGTAAAGATGGCCGAGTGTATGCTGACCACCTTACCAACCTAGTGCTGATTGGTCTGTAAAAATATGGGTGCTCCTTCCCTATGCCCAATGCCCCTAAAGGCGTAAAAAGTGATCTTTACTTTATTTGTATTACCTTTCAGAAAACAATAGTCAACTACTGAACATAAAACTGCCAGCAAAACCACATTCATTCTTTGTCCTGTTGTGCCTATGTCTGTCATAGGATTGCAGCCTATTTCTCCATTTCTCTTTTTTTGTGTAAAATTATGCAACTTTTTTTTTTTTAAATGCAAACAAATGTTGTATGTCAATATCAAAATGTTCCCCATCGTAAATTTAAAAGGGAACATAAACATAATATTGAACCTGCACTCTGGTTAAACAGGCAGTTGCTTCTAAAGGGTTCACTTGTTTGTTGCATTGTATGTTCATGATCCCTAAGTCATCCCCTCGTGGGATGCAATTTGTTTTTTAAATATTTCAAAGTCCTGTCCTGACTTTTGCCGGAGGCCTGAATATAGCTGAGCCATAATTATGGCTTAATGGCTGAAAGGGGTTTCTGGGATCTCTCTGTGGGTGATCCTCATTTACATGATGGCACTTTGTGTCACCAGGTGTTTATCACTTGTGTGATGTCCCGGTGAGGTACAACTACCTACCTACCTGTTGCATTGTCACTAAGTAGTACCTCTGGCAAGGTGACCGTCATGTCCTTCTTCGGGCAGTTCACCGCCACTGGGCTAGGTCTGGCACTCAGCTCTCTCCTGTGGCTCCCAGCTGCTGTCAGTATGCGACAGCGGCAACCCCTCGGGCAACAGTTTTGACGGGCTGGCTAAACCAAGAGAGGGTAGCCGACCTGATTCTAAACCACTCTATGATTGGGACAAGCCTACTGTGCATGCAAAGACTAGACTTGGCAAATCGTGCGGATAAAACCTCTCATGGTTCAGTGGGCAAGAAGACGATTACCAGCAGGCTCTGTAGAGAGCTTCGAGTAAGGCAAAGCGCTTAAGATCCCTTGTCATCCACTGCATCTAGGTCCATTTCCAGTCGTCTCGACAATGTCCTGCCATTGGATCAAGATGGACACAGGCGAGAGAGGTCGACCAAATTACACAGCTCTTCTTCACTTAAAGTCCTTGTGCAACTCACTTTCATCCAGTTATCATCCTCATCAGTCATCTCCAAGTCCTTGTGCAACTCACTTTCATCCAGTTATCATCCTCATCAGTCATCTCCAAGTTCTTGTGCAACTCACTTTCATCCAGTTATCATCCTCATCAGTCATCTCCAAGTTCTTGTGCAACTCACTTTCATCCAGTTATCATCCTCATCAGTCATCTCCAAGTTCTTGTGCAACTCACTTTCATCCAGTTATCATCCTCATCAGTCATCTCCATCCTTGTGCAACTCACTTTCATCCAGTTATCATCCTCATCAGTCATCTCCAAGTTCTTGTGCAAGTCACTTTCATCCAGTTATCATCCTCATCAGTCATCTCCAAGTCCTTGTGCAACTCACTTTCATCCAGTTATCATCCTCATCAGTCATCTCCAAGTCCTTGTGCAAGTCACTTTCATCCAGTTATCATCCTCATCAGTCATCTCCAAGTCCTTGTGCAACTCACTTTCATCCAGTTATCATCCTCATCAGTCATCTCCAAGTCCTTGTGCAACTCACTTTCATCCAGTTATCATCCTCATCAGTCATCTCCAAGTCCTGTGGTGATGGTCTCCATCACTCCTGATGGACGAACAACATCATGTTGTTGCCGTAGTGTGCACCTGGCGGGACACTGTAAAATATCTCAGGCTATAAATTGTGCAGTCTGTTTGTGTCTTCTTTCTTCAAGTATATTCTTCTTCTTCTTCAGCATTCCGATCCCTTGAGGTTCATTGCTGCAGATATCACCCGCCTCCATTCATCTCTCTGCTTAGCCATCTCTTTCCAGTTGGCAACACCAAATGTTTGCAGGTCTGTCTGGATATTATCTCTCCTTCATGTTTTTGGTCTCCCTCGTGGTCTACGATCAATGATCTCCCTTGTGTATACAGTTTTACTTCTCTGTCATCTGACATTCTTTCATTATGCCCCAACCATTTCAGTCTATTAGCTCTCAGGATGCCAGTGATCAATGGGGATTTAAACATATTATGAATTTGGTTGTTGCTTATCACTCTCCATTCTCCGCTGTTTGCATCTTTGATGGGTCCAAAGATTTGTAAGACATTGTTTCTGTAAACCTGTAATAAGGCTTCATCTCCTTTGGTTGTGCTCCATGTTTCAAAACCATATAAAACGACTGGTCTTATCAACATTTTATATATTTTGATCTTGGTGTTGCGAGACAGACACTTTGACTTTAGCAGATGTTGAAGGGCATATACTTTAGTTCCAGATTTTATTCTAGATTGTATTTCTTCTCTAAGCATGTTGGAGCAGTTGAAGTTTGCACCTAAGTACTTATATGTTTCCGTTTGTTTGATTTTCATATTATTGACTTGTATGTGGCCGGAGTTTATATTCTTTCCCTGTCTAGTTATTATCATGTACATTGGAACCTCGCTTAACGAGCATAATTCGTTCCAGAATTATACTCGTTAAGCAAAACACTTGTTATGCGAATTTTTCTCATATAAATTAATGTAAAATACAATAATGCATTCCATGTCAAAAAAAAAAATACTCACAAAATACTATGTATAACGTTTATTCAAAAAAAATTATGTGCATATTGTTAAGGAGAGTGAATCATCTTCATCTTTTTTTCAAACTCGGAACAAACCCACCTGGAATATGAATTAGATTTTGCACACACAAAAAGTCAAAATATTTATGATACATAGATTTTTTTTTTTTTTTTTAACTAGAAAGATGTCCAGAAACATTTGTTTTTGCAGACGATTCAAAATTTGGCGAAAATGTGACATAGCATTATCATTACATAAATTTGCAACGCTCATAGCCCCTTCTTTATTAAGGTGAGGCTTCTCAATGTAACAGTTTGCCATGCTTACAGCATTTCTCTTTTTTCGCCAGAAGATTGTTGCTTTTCTGTTACCTCCTCCTCTGACAAACTTTCCTGCAAAACTTCTTGCTGTGAAACACAATGCAACTCCATAAGCTCCTAGGTGGTCAGCTCTTGGCTGTACTCTTCATCAAGCTCTTCGATATCACTGTTATCCACCTAAAATCCAATAGTGGCCAAAACACAATCTCGTTGACTACAGGTTCCACAGGTACTGTCTCGAACACCTCAAAGTCACAAATCCACAAAGATCTCCGGCCAGCTTCTTCTAGGCAGAAGTTAGGGTTCTCTTGGTAACCCCTTCCCCATCCTTGTCGATCATCTTGAGGCAGTCAACGATGTGGAAGTGATTTTTCCAAAACTCTTTGAGAGTGAGGTTGGTCCCTTCAGTCACCCGAAAGCAATGCTCGAAGAGTGCTTTAGTGTAGAGCTTCTTAAAGTTATAAATAACTTGCTGGTCCATGGGCTGGAGTAACGGAGTGGTGTTGGGAAGCAGAAACTGGATCTTGTTGAACTTAAATTCTTCAGAGAGGTAATCTTGTAGGCCTGGAGGATTCATGTGCATAGATCGCAATATAACACAAGTTTGAGAAAATGTGTGATCACAAGCGACACTACGATGCTACTGGAACAAGTGCTAAACACTGATGTAACATGCGCACAATTGGGGACTTTCCCTCTCCTCGCCACTCATTATGCGAAACGTCGCTCGTTAACTCTTTGAGTCCCAAGGGGTTTTGCATCACAGGCCCAGGGGGTATTAAAGAGAGTCATAAAATCGGCGCTTCATGCGTTCATTGGGCTTCTAGGTAGGAACCTATGAACGTATGATGCGTTCTTTGGGACTCAAAGAGTTAAGCAAGTCATTTTTTTAAAACACTTTGTTTTGCTCGTTTTGCGAATTACTCGTTATGTTAGGTGCTCGCGTATTCTGTTTTTTTTCAAGTATATTATTAACATGTTGAATTTTACAGTTGGCTGCAAGTTCGTCTCCAGTTTCTCGGAAATGTGATAGTGTTGGCAGCAGCCATGTTTGCACAGTCGGATGCTAGCCTAACTGCGGGCTTGGCTGGTCTGGCTATTTCATACGCTCAGCAGGTAAACAGTCCAACATTTTAGAGGGGGGTTAAGATTGGGTTTCCCGGCTTTCTGATGCTTTTAATTACCCAAAAACATCTAGAACTGGCCCTAACACCAACCCACCTACGTCCCACAAGAAAGTGCAGCCAAAGGTCCCATGACTGCATGCAGCCTGTCTTCTACCCCCTGAAATATTAGACTGTTCCGTGACCTGTGGATTTCCTTGTTTGGGGTAGGATGTTAAGAGAGCACCATTGCTTCTTGTGATTATGTCTGGATTTGTCATGTTTTGTTATCATACAGTAAATTGTGGCATATACGTCATGTTTTCATGCCTAAAAGAATACTTCTACAATTAATGTCCATTTATATTGCCAGTATAGGAGTCTTTGTGGCGTAGCCGCTAGATGCTCGAGTGCGGATCGAAAGGTCGTGGTTTTGCTCCTTGGCAGAGCCAGACTTTTAAAAAAAATGACCTTGACTCCCAGGTCGACCCAGCCTTGAATAGGGACCAGGTGAAGTCCGGGGAAGTAAAGGCAGCCGGCGTGAGGATGACCACATCAGCTATCTTGTGTTGATTGGTCTATAAAAATATAGGTCTAGCCCTAAAAAGTCCGGCTCTGCCAGGGAGCAAAACCACGACCTTTCGATCCGCACCCGAGCATCTAGCCACTACACCACGGAGACTCAGGTTGATAAAAATTCAGCAGCTTAGAATAATTATCATCTGCTGTTAAGCGTCGTGGGGAGGAACAGTTTGTGATCCATGCAAGATGGGCAGCACTGGCTATTGTCATTCTGTGTCGCTGTAGAAGCTCTTTAATGTCATCAGTCCATCTTCTCCTAGGGACGCCTCTTGTCTTGACTTGTGATGTTTGTGTGTAGCGCCTGCGTTGGTGATTGTTTTGGCTGCATTCTTAGAAATGGCCAAACCATTTGATCTTCTGTTTCTCAATGAATTTGCTGCATGGTGTTGTTCCTACAGTCTGTCAGATAATATCATTTCCAGCTTTGTCTCGGATGGTTAAATTTATGTCTTCTCTCAGGCCTCTCATTTCACAGGTGTTAACTTTATGTAGGTTAGTCTTTGATAATGTCCAAGTTTGGCACTGGTAGCACAGTGTTGGTTTGAATATGCTATTTATCATCTTTTTTCTTTGTGCTCTACTTATGTTTGGATGTCTTAATAACGGTGTCAATTGTCCTTGGAATGAGGTGATTTATGATCACCAGAGCAAGATTTTTATTGCTGTGCCATATATATCATCTCTAACTCAATAGTTAAGTTGAGTCAAGAATTGACATCACAGCACTCAGGACATTCCCATGCCTGCTTCATCCTCATCTTCAGCAGCCAGCGCAGAGTTCCAAAACTGATGGTACCAGTCACAATCTGGTTGTATGTCCGTCTTGTCTTTCCTATGAGTTTAGTGAACCGGCCAGACCCTCTGGTTACACCCAGGTACCTCATTCTCTCCAGGCAATAATAATCTTGTTTCTCTTCTGATTCCATTGCTTGTTCCCAAAGGGCCTTGACCACCTCTGCCTTGTCATGTATCAATTCATCACCCGGTGGTGCAGGTCCAGCCAATCTGTCCGCCTGTTCATTACCCACCACGCCGGCATAGCCTGGAGAAAAGATCCAAAGTATGCTCACTACCCGTGACCTATCCAGTGAAGCTTGCCACTCTGCTCGAAGCATCCCTGTCTTCACCTTTCTCTGCATGCTTTCAGAGTCTGTTACTATCAGGACATGTGTATGCATCTTGTTTCTTAACCACCTCTATAGTTCTTAAGAATGTTTTAGCCTGGTTTGATCTGTGCTTGTTTTACTGGGAACCTGATACACAACAGGTGTTCATATTGGTGTATTCCCCCAGGTGACTAATGCACTAACCATGGTGGTCCAGGTGGCAACGCAAGCAGAAACTAACATTGTGTCGGCAGAGAGGATTCTGGAATATGCTGAAATCCCCACAGAGGTAAATGCTGCAGATGTCTTAATCTACCTTTATGTATGTTTTTTTTTTTTAAATCAGTTGGTCAGATGCCATCTTCACAATGGAGGTTGGCTGCTGTGGAACTATAAGTGTCATTTGCACAGTGAAGGTTGGCTGCAGTGGATCTATAAGTGTCATTTGCACAGTGGAGGTTGGCTGCAGTAGATCTATAAGTGTCATTTGCACAGTGGAGGTTGGCTGCAGGGGATCTATAAGTGTCATTTGCACAGTGGAGGTTGGCTGCAGGGGATCTATGAGTGTCATTTGCACAGTGGAGGTTGGCTGCAGGGGATCTATAAGTGTCATTTGCACAGTGGAGGTTGGCTGCAGGGGATCTATAAGTGTCATTTGCACAGTGGAGGTTGGCTGCAGTAGATCTATAAGTGTCATTTGCACAGTGGAGGTTGGCTGCAGTGGATCTATAAGTGTCATTTGCACAGTGGAGGTTGGCTGCAGGGGATCTATAAGTGTCATTTGCACAGTGGAGGTTGGCTGCAGTAGATCTATAAGTGTCATTTGCACAGTGGAGGTTGGCTGCAGGGGATCTATAAGTGTCATTTGCACAGTGGAGGTTGGCTGCAGTAGATCTATAAGTGTCATTTGCACAGTGGAGGTTGGCTGCAGTAGATCTATAAGTGTCATTTGCACAGTGAAGGTTGGCTGCAGTGGATCTATAAGTGTCATTTGCACAGTGGAGGTTGGCTGCAGTAGATCTATAAGTGTCATTTGCACAGTGGAGGTTGGCTGCAGTAGATCTATAAGTGTCATTCGCACAGTGGAGGTTGGCTGCAGTGGATCTATAAGTGTCATTTGCACAGTGGAGGTTGGCTGCAGTAGATCTATAAGTGTCATTTGCACAGTGGAGCTTGGCTGCAGTGGATCTATAAGTGTCATTTGCACAGTGGAGGTTGGCTGCAGGGGATCTATAAGTGTCATTTGCACAGTGGAGGTTGGCTGCAGTAGATCTATAAGTGTGATTTGCACAGTGGAGGTTGGCTGCAGTGGATCTATAAGTGTCATTTGCACAGTGGAGGTTGGCTGCAGGGGATCTATAAGTGTCATTTGCACAGTGGAGGTTGGCTGCAGTAGATCTATAAGTGTCATTTGCACAGTGGAGGTTGGCTGCAGGGGATCTATAAGTGTCATTTGCACAGTGGAGGTTGGCTGCAGTAGATCTATAAGTGTCATTTGCACAGTGGAGGTTGGCTGCAGGGGATCTATAAGTGTCATTTGCACAGTGGAGGTTGGCTGCAGTAGATCTATAAGTGTCATTTGCACAGTGGAGGTTGGCTGCAGTAGATCTATAAGTGTCATTTGCACAGTGGAGGTTGGCTGCAGTAGATCTATAAGTGTCATTTGCACAGTGGAGGTTGGCTGCAGTGGATCTATAAGTGTCATTTGCACAGTGAAGGTTGGCTGCAGTGGATCTATAAGTGTCATTTGCACAGTGGAGGTTGGCTGCAGTAGATCTATAAGTGCCATTTGCACAGTGGAGGTTGGCTGCAGGGGATCTATAAGTGTCATTTGCACAGTGGAGGTTGGCTGCAGTAGATCTATAAGTGTCATTTGCACAGTGGAGGTTGGCTGCAGTGGATCTATAAGTGTCATCTTTACAGTGGAGGTTGGCTGCAGGGGATCTATAAGTGTCATTTGCACAGTGGAGGTTGGCTGCACTGGATCTATAACATACTCTGTCTCTTGTCTTGGTATACGCTGCTGTTGTCCATCTCTTCATGCTGTCCTCCCAGTTGTATCATTGTCTTCATTGTGCTTTCTTGCCCTCGGCTGTATAGAAGGGGGTGGGAATCAGGAGGGTAAGGGAATTAAGGAATGATTAAATATATGGATGCAAAAATTCTGTAATGATTGAGTGATTGATAGGGCTCATTTTTTTAATGATGTTGTTGTACCTGACTCAATAATATGATTTATTTACCCGTATGGCAGTACTGATTGGCGTCCTTGGCTTAGGCGTTACGAGTCCAACTCGTAATTCCAAAGTACCGCGATCGAAACCCACCGCTGGCTATGTGGATTTTTATCGTGGTATGGGGCGTCACAGGTCAACCCAGCCTTAAATGGGTACCAGGATGGCTGTCGTGGGAAAGTAAAGACGACTGGCGTAATGCTGACCATATTACCCACCTAGTGCTGATTAGTCTGTAAAAATATGCTCTTCCCATATGCCCCATCCGCCCAAAGCATGAAAAGGGATCTATACTTTTTACTTTTATGGCTGTACCAGACTTGATAGAGTTGTCTGTCACAGTTATGGTTTCACAACCAACAGGTTACCCTATAATTTCTCTGTTCCCGTGCCATCAAAAACCATATTAAAAGTCTGTCGCTATACCTTGTGAAAAGTGAATGGATTGCAGTCCTAGCAGAACCAACAGATTGCACACACATTAAATGCATAGGGCAGTCATTAGCGTCTTCCATCCAGTATAGCATTCAAAATAGTGTTATGTTTATTAATGTGGCCCACAATCCGACACTAGAAAGTTCAGGTTTTGTAATCTTATATATTATATGATATATTGTCCCCCCGTGTGGGTTCCGGGTCCCTATTTCAGGGAAAACAGGAATAGACCCACTGCCTCCACAACAATCATGTCGTAAGAGTCCACTAATTAGGGGGAGAGTGTATCTGCCCAAGAGGTAAGGAACAACTAACTGCACACAAATAAACCAGTAAAACAGATGCATACACAAAATACTCATACCCTGGCACAAAGCCAAAGTTCAAATAGATTAAGATCTGGGACTTTCTGCCGGAGCTTACAGCCGGCGAACAATGAAGAAGATATGTTATATTGTTAGAGTTATTTGATTATTCTGTTGCGTCCCAAATACTGTGGTTCTCGATAGGGCGAACCTGCCTAGCATCCACACGATACTGAAGAATTATCAGCTGCGTTGGGCTGGTCACCTAACTCGCATGCCAGAATATCGACTCCCAACAAGAGTATTTTATGACGAGCTCCAGCAAGGAAAGAGGTCCCAGCGAGGACAGAAAAAGCGCTACAAGGACACTCTGATGACTGCTCCTTATTCTTGTGGCATCAACACAGCGATGTGGGAGGCTGCTGCTTAAGACCGTTCTGGATGGTGTACATCCTTCAGGCATGGTGCATCGGCCTACCAGGCAGGGGAGGTTGCACAGGCAGAGAAACGGAGGCAGACTAGAAAGAATCGTACTGCTAATCCCACACTTACTGCGGCTTTCATCTGTTGTCCTCACTGCTCAAGAACTTTCAAGACTCATATTGGACTAATCAGCCACCTTCGTACTCATAATCATTGATCATCCAAACTTTGGATGAAAGTGGCCTTCATCACGCGTGATGGACGAACAACTCACATTCTGTTTTGTAACACAGTCTGACAGTTGCACATAGTTATGTATGTATATATGTGCATACTTGCCTGCATGAGAGCGGGTGAGTGAGTATAGTTGTGGACATGTGCGCATGGGTTTACCACGCATTTTTTTCCCCCCATGATATTCATATTATGTGTATTATTTATTCAAAACTAACATGCTTTATTGATAAAATACAATTGCTATGTGAAAGATGAGTTTTTAGAAGGGCTGAAAGTAAGACGGGCCTGCGTACCAAATTTGTGACCCTTTTAAAAATAAAATTCATTTGTTTGTTTATATTCAGGCACCCTGGGAGATCCCAGAAACGGAGCCACCGAAAAGTTGGCCGGATGAAGGCCGTGTAGTGTTCGATGATCTACAGTTCCGCTACCGGGATGGCCTAGAACTGGTGTTAAAGGGAGTCACTTGTGACCTGAAAGGTGGCGAGAAGGTAAAATATTTTAAAGATTATTATTTCTGTATACACAAGCAGCGTTACCGGTCAGTTTTCTTAGTACTGAAACATCCAGCAATACCAGTGGAAACTAAAACACAAATCATAAACATAATTCTTTTTTGTTTTTTTTTTCTTTAAATCTTTGAGTCCCAGGGGGTTTAGCATCACAGGCCCAGGGGGTAGTAAAGAGAGTCATAAAATCGGCGCATCGTGCTTTCATTGGGCATCTAGGTAGAAACATGTGAACGTATGATGCGTTCCTTGGGACTCAAAGAGTTGACCAACACTGTGTTTTCAGTGCCAAACCTGGGCCTCAACAAAAGGACAAGAGCAGAAACCAAAGACATGGGAAATGAGATGTTTCAACATAACAAGAAAATATCATTAGAATGATGGGAACGATGCCTGTAATTATGATTATTATTTTTTTTTTAAAAGCAAAGACTGAAATTATTTGGCCAGCAAGGTGGCTGAGTGGCCTCTGTGTATGGTGTCCGCCTTGAGTGATGGAGGTTGGGATTTTTTCACATGGACAAAGTGGTGCAGAACCGGCCAGTCTATCTGCCTGCTCATTTCCCAACATCCGGCATGACCTTGAGAAAATACCCAAAGGATACACAGATATGTAAATGGTAGCCTTGTGGGAGTGCTGGGTAAATTACATGCAGGCTTCAAATGAAAACCTTAAAAGTAATTGGAAATACAATTTCCAGGCCACATTGTCTTGTAACCTGTCAGTACTGCAGTTAAGGATTTCAAGAATGTTATATGGTCGCCCCACTTTTTTCTTGTCCATTTTTCTATAGAAATTCAGTGAATTAAGATCTAGTACGGTGATTCATGTCTGTCAGTCTAGCATTTCTTTTGGCCCTCATGATGCCTGTGATTAATGGTGATTTAAATAGACTGTGCATTTCATTGTTGCTTCTCACTCTCCATTCCCGCTGTTTGCATCTTTAATGGATCCAAACTAGTCTCATCAGCATTTTTTTATTGTGATCTTGATGTTATATTCTTCTTTCTTCTTCACCGGCTGTAAACTGTGGTGGAAAATTCTGGTTGGTCATCCACTTCTGGACTTTAAACTTGTTTCAGAACCTGAGTATTGCATGCACATCCATTTTACGGATCTGACTTCATTATATGCAGAATGTTGGTTCCTTGCCTTTCAGGCAGATGCACTGCGACTTCCAAGAAAACCCTCCCCAGTTAGTCGACTCTTACAACATGCTTGTTGGGGAAGCGACACTGGGTCTATTCTTGTTTTCCCCACAATGGGGCCACGAAAACGAACGCAGGGAATCTTATTGTTGTGAGATAGATCTTCTGATTGTAGTAGATGTTGTATGGCATAGCATACTTTATTTCTAAACTATTTCCTAGATTGTACATACTTGATATCACAAACTCCTTAAATGTATTCTGCCAGCCAACCACCATATGGGAAACTCTACGTGTAATTAGAAGAAAAAAAGTAAAAATAGTCAACTTTATTTGGACTGACCAGCGAATTTGTTGTGAATTGTCTGTTACTTCTTCTTCATGTTCACCGGCTGTAAACTCTGGCGGAAACTTCTAGTTGTTTATCTACTTCTGGACTCTAGCCCTGTTTCAGAAACTGAGTGTTGTGTGCGCATCCATTTCACAGGTCTGACTCATTTGCAAGCAAACTGTATTTCAGTGCCTCTCAGGCAGATGTACTCTGACTTCGAAGGAGGCTTACAATTAGTCGACTATTATGACACACTTTTGAGCAAGTCTATTCTTGTTTCTTTCCCCACAGTGGGACCCCAGAACCCGCACAGAGAGTCTGTTACTGAAAGGGTTAACCTTTTTGCCTCATATAATTCTTAAAAAGTGACCTTTTTCAAAATGTTGTCAAATTAAAAATGTTGTTAAATTCAAAATGATGTTAAATTCAAAATGTTGTTAAATTCAAAATGTTGTTAAAATCAGAATTCTGTTAAATTCAAAATGTTGTTAAATTCAAAGTGCTGTTAAATTCAAAGTGCTGCTGAATTCAAAGTGCTGTTATATTCAAAATGCTGTTAAATTCAAAATGCTGTTTTTTCAAAATACTGTTCAATTCAAAATGCTGTTAAATTCAAAGTGCTGTTAAATTCAAAATATTGTCAAAAACAAATGCATGGTTGTAGTTGTTTGAAACTCTGCTGTAAGAAACTAGAGGAAGAGAAGAAAAAGTAGAAGAGATTTTGAGTCTGTGTCGGTTTCTATGTATGTCCAGGAGATTGGAATCTAAAACCACTGAGCAGATAGATGAGCCTGCTAGCTGTTGTATCATGGCATCTGCCAGCTCACCACAAAGACAGATATTTCATTTTTAGAGTCTTTATTTTGCACAAAAGTTTTTATTTTTATTTTTTAATGAAGGAAAGTTATTAAAGAAATAACTGCTTTCCTTCCCTTTGACCAAGAAAATAGGTGTTTTGTTGACAAAGCTAGAGAGAGAGCAAAGTGACTTAATCATAATTTTAGTATGATGTCATAATGAGCCAACAAAAAATATTTTTTAAAAGGAGGTGGGTGGCGGTGTGGTATGGTTATAATCATACAGACTACGTTTACAAACTGTCCATGGTGCAACCGGTACCAAAGTTATTATGTAGGGCTACTGACCACTTCCCAAAGACATCATTTCATCTAAAAAAACTTATAAAAGTCAGAAAACTGGCTTTCTGGGGCCAACAGGGTAATGCAAATATTTATTTGACGATTCTTTTGTGTTGAAGGTTGGTATTGTGGGCAGGACTGGAGCTGGCAAATCGTCTCTCTCTGTTGCCCTCTTCCGACTTGCAGAAGCATTTGCCGGGAAAATCTCCATTGATGAACGCAATATAGCCACACTTGGACTTCACAACTTGCGTGGCAACATTACCATTCTTCCCCAGGTTTGTAAAGTTGTTAAATGTGTTTCACTGAGTTTGTGAATTAGATAGCTTTTTACCCTGTCTTACTGGAGAAACCAACAGTCAGATCTGTAAGAAGGATGTGCAGGCAACACGCGGGTTCTGGAACAGGACCAGAGTATAGAAGTGGGGGAACAACCACAACTTTCTGCCAGAGTTTGCAGCCGGTGAATGCAAATAAGAAGAAGACGAATGTTGAATTAAATACTGACATCACCGCACTCAGGACACTCCCCTAAGTGCTCAGTCCCCATCTTCAGCAGCAAGTCTGGTTGTATATCTGTCTCATCCTTCCCCTGAGTGTTGAGCGCCGGCCAAATTCCCTGGTAACCCCTTGCAGCGCCATTCTCCTCAGACCATAATGAACTGTCTGCGCCTCCTCACTGTTAACACGTTCCCAAAGGACCCTCACAATATCTAACTTAGCAAACATCAATTCACCACCAAGTGGTGTAGAGCCAGCCAGTCTATCTGTCTGCTCATTTCCCAACACACAGGCATGACAAAGAAGACTAAGAAGATACATGTGTTACACTCTATAAATGCTCTAGATTTGTGAATTGTGCTATGTAAATGATCCACACAGTTGTATTATCCTATGCAAATTATTTAGATAATGCTTTTTTGCTGACTTTATTGTTATTCTAATTTCCACCACCACTACTTCTTCTTCTTCTTCTTTTTCTTCTTCTTCAGCATTCCGAGCCTTTGAGGTTCATTTGCTGCAGATTTCACCCGCCTCCACTCATCTCTCTGGTTTGCCTTCTCCTTCCAATTAGTGACACCAAGTGTTTGCAGGTCTGTCTGGACATTATCTCTCTATCTTCTTCTTGGTCTGCCTCGTGGTCTACGACCATTCATCTCCCTTGTGTATAAGTTTTCAGTTCTCTGTCATCTAACATTCTCTCACTATGCCCCAACCATTTCATTCTATTAGCTCTCATGATGCCAGTTATCAATGGTGATTCAAACAGATTATGAATTTCGTTTCTTCTCACTCTCCATTCCCCGCTGTTTGCATCTTTGATGGGTCCACCACTACTACGATTATTATTTCTATTATTCTTGTTTTACTATTACATTTATTATTTTTTTCTCCTTTTCTTATTTTATTTCTTCCACATCTTTTCCTTATCCTATATTTTAGTTATTCTTGAAACACTCCCCCCCACCCCTCCCCAACCTCATGTGGGGACTGGTGGCCAGGATACTCTGCATGTTGTTGTGTGCTTTGTGCCAAGAGAGGCTGTTGAAACATTTCTTGTGTGTGTGTGTGTTGTTTCCCTTCCCCAATGTTAAGTTTCTTAGTAACAGTTCAATATATTATTTTCTGTGGTATTAGCTTGACTGCAGTCACTTCTGTTTTTATCAGTTTTACACTTAAAAAAAAGATCTAGATACATGTTTTCATGCTGTTAAAAAAAAAGATCTAGATACATGTTTTCATGCTGTTGCTTCCAGGATCCCGTGATTTTCTCCGGCACACTGCGAATGAACCTGGACCCCTCTGAGAAGCACACGGACGAGCAAATCTGGGAGGCCTTAGAGCACGCTCATCTCAAGAGCTTTGTCAAAGGCCTCCCTACCCAGCTGGACTATCAGTGCGGAGAAGGAGGCCAGAACCTCAGGTGAGCTGGTCGTTTTGTTGTTAACTGTAGGCCATTACGTCAGGTGAGCTTGTCGTGTTGTTAACTATAGGCCAGAACCACAGCTGAGCTTGTCGTGTTGTTAACTATAGGCCAGAACCACAGGTGAGCTTGTCGTGTTGTTAACTATAGGCCAGAACCACAGGTGAGCTTGTCGTGTTGTTAACTATAGGCCAGAACCACAGGTGAGCTTGTCGTGTTGTTAACTATAGGCCAGAACCACAGCTGAGCTTGTCGTGTTGTTAACTATAGGCCAGAACCACAGGTGAGCTTGTCGTGTTGTTAACTATAGGCCAGAACCACAGGTGAGCTTGTCATGTTGTTAACTGTAGGCTAGAACCTCAGTGAGCTAGTTCTGTTGTTTTTAACTATAGGCCAAAACTTCAGTTGAGCTTGTAGTGTTGTGTTGTTAACTGTAGGCCAGAACTTCAGGTGAGCTGGTCCTGTTGTTAACTATAGGCCAAAACTTCAGTTGAGCTTGTAGTGTTGTGTTGTTAACTGTAGGCCAGAACTTCAGGTGAGCTGGTCATGTTGTTAACTATAGGCCAAAACTTCAGGTGAGCTGGTCATGTTGTTAACTGTAGGCCAGAACTTCAGGTGAACTGGTCCTGTTGTTAACTGTAGGTCAGAACTTCAGGTGAGCTGGTCATGTTGTTAACTGTAGGTCAGAACTTCAGGTGAGCTGGTCCTGTTGTTAACGATTGACTAGAACCTCAGGTGAGCTGGTCATGTTGTTAACTGTAGGCTAGAACCATTGGTGAGCTGGTCGTATTGTTAACTATAGCCATAAACCTCAGGTGAGCTGCTCGTATTGTTAACTATAGCCAAGAAACTCAGGTGAGGTGCTCATGTTGTTAACTATAGCCAGGAACCTCAGGTGAGCTCCTCATATTTTTAACTATAGTCAGGAACCTCAGGTGAGCTGCTCATGTTGTTAACTATAGCCAAGAACCTCAGGTGAGCTGCTCGTGTTGTAAAACTATAGCCAAGAACCTCAGATGAGCTGCTTGTGTTGTAAAACTATAGCCAAGAACCTCAGGTGAGCTGCTCGTGTTGTAAAACTATAGCCAAGAACCTCAGATGAGCTGCTCATATTGTTAACTATAGCCAAGAACCTCAGATGAGCTGCTCATATTGTTAACTATAGCCAAGAACCTCAGGTGAGCTACTCTTTTTGTTAACTCAAGTCCAGGCCCTCCGGTGAGATACCCATGTTAACTGTAACCAAAAACCCCATGGGGGTTGCTCATATTGTTAACTATAGCCAAGAACCTCAGATGAGCTGCTCATATTGTTAACTATAGCCAGGAACCTCAGGTGAGCTACTCATAATGTTAACTATAGCCAAGAACCCCAGGTAGGCTGCTCGTGTTGTTAACTGTAGCCAAGAACCTCAGGTGAGCTACTCATGTTGTTAACTATAGCCAAGAACCACAGGTGGGCTGCTTGTATTGTTAACTGTAGCCAACTATATATTATGCTGCTTCGGTAAGTGATGAACTGTATTTCTAGTGCTGGACTGTTTGTGCTGGCACTTCTGACAGCTGCCTTATGCATTTAGTGAGTGTGTGGCTTTGCAGATGCTGCAGTCTGTGGTTTTTATTAGCACAGGAGCAGAGCAGCTATGGGGAGGCATTTTTAGATGTGTAGTTGCAACTGTGTTTACTCGATCAAATCCCCTCAACCATCTCACACCAGGTCGTTCTGTCCTTCGCTATCACTTGCAGCTCTCCCCATGTCCTCCCTATCTTTTTAATTCCACTCTCTAGCTCCCTTCTCTGTGTGTTTATTTGTCTTACTTTATTTGTATGTCCTTGTGGATTCCTGGACAAAGACATTCTAGTTATATTGCTCTCAGGTTTTTTCAGCATATGTCCTATCCAAGGCTGGCATCTTTTCTTCAAGTCTTTAGTAAAGTAAAGAACCCTTTTCCATGCCTTTAAGCGTATAGGGCATATAGGGCTAGACCTATATTTTATTGACTAATCGGCACAAGATGGGTGATGCGGTCAGCATCATGCTGGCTGTCTTTACTTCCCGGGACTGGACCTGGTACCCACTCAAGGCTGGGTCCACCTGGGAGTCAAGGTAATTTTTGAAAAAAGTTTGGCTCCACCGGGAAGGGAACCCACGACCTTTCGATCCTCAGCGGCAACTCCCCTCTTCACCTTTTGGTGCACTGGAACTTGTTTAGTTCTCTCCCAAAGCTGTACATTAGTGATTCTGTCATACCATTTAATTCCCTCTATTTTGCGTAGGCACCAGTTAATGAATGTTCATAGTTTAATTTTCATTGATTTAGTTGTTCTCCATGTTTCCGCTCCATACAAAAGTACTGATTTCATATTAGAGTAAACAATTTTAAGTTTAGTATTATATCAAATTTCTGTTGATCTTCAAAGATATCCAACTGCTATGAAAGCTCCTCTTGCCTTTTGTTTTCTATTTTAATATCTTCAGTTCCCCCATCATTGTCTACATACATTACTGCCCAAATAAGTGTATGACTCCATGTTTTGGATACCATTAGGTGAAACCACATTACTATTTGCCTGATGTACTCTCATTACATTTGTCTTTCCCTTATTGATTACCTGATTACTTGATATAATCTGTTGGGAGTCCATCTCCTTGAATCTGTTGGGAGTCCATCTCCTGGAATCTGTTGGGAGTCCATCTCCTTGAATCTGTTGGGAGTCCATCTCCTTGAATCAGTTGGGAGTCCATCTCCTTGAATCTGTTGGGAGTCCATCTCCTTGAATCTGTTGGGAGTCCAACTCCTTGAATCTGTTGGGAGTCCATCTCCTGGAATCTGTTGGGAGTCCATCTCCTTGAATCTGTTGGGAGTCCATCTCCTTGAATCTGTTGGGAGTCCATCTCCTGGAATCTGCTGGCCAACCCTCATTATGAAAAAGTATTGGAAATCTTCACTGGCTGCTGAAGGTAGGGTCGGACCCTTATGTGCTGTGATGTCAGTTCTTGAATCAAATCAAATCTGTGTGAAATAACTGGCGTTACTTGAATTCCTCAGTATGGGGCAGCGGCAGCTGGTGTGTCTGGCCCGATGTCTGCTGCGTAAATCAAAGATTCTGGTGCTGGATGAGGCCACTGCTGCAGTCGACATGGAGACTGATGACCTCATTCAGAAGACAATCCGTTCAGAGTTCAAGGACAGCACAGTGTTGACAATAGCCCACCGGCTCAATACAATCCTGGATTATGACAGGTAAGGAACAGCGGACCCTATTCCACGCCTTTAGGAATATAGGGCATGTGTGCAAAAACCTATATTTTTATAGACCAATTGGCACACAAGATGGATGATGTGGTCACCCCGGCTGATTTTGCTTCCCGGGACTGCACCCGGTACCCACTCAAGGCTGGGTCTACCTGAGAGCCAAGGTCATTTTTGAAAAAAAAAAAGTCTTGCTCCGCCAGGGAGCGAACCCACGACCTTCTGATCCATGGCGAGCGTCCAGCCGCTCTGCCACGGTGACTCCCGAGCATCTGAGAGTGGTGTCATCATCATCGTGTAGCAGGTTCTTTGCAGAACTTTGTTCTCATCACGGTCTGCATTTCCCCTGTGGGTTCCAGGGCCTCATTATGGAAAAAAGCAAGAATAGACCAACTGCCCAACAAGCATGTCGTAGGAGTCGTCTGATTGGCAGCTTCCTTCGAAGTCACAGTGCATCTGCCAGAACGGCAAGAAACAACCAGCTGCACACAGATAAGCCAGTCAAATAACTGTGTACACAAAACTCAGGCCCTGGCACAAAGCCAGAGTCCAAATGGACAAACAGCCAGGACTTTGTGCCACAGCTTACGGCCGGTCAACAAATAAGAAGGTCATGGTCTGCCAGAAACAAACTGTTCCATCCCTAGCTCTCCCTCATGGTGCACTTTTCTCCCCAGGCTGTCACTTATATTCTCTGCTCATCTTTGTGCTTGTTCCCTACTTGTTTTTCTCAGTGTCATACCTTCTGCTGTTGTTTTTTCCAGTCTGCTGTGTACTTGATATAGCCAAAATATTTCAGTTACCAAGACAAGATGCTATTTATTAGCCAATCCAAGACAAGGTGCTATTTATCAGCCAATCCAAGACAAGGGGCTATTTATCAGCCAATCCAAGACAAGGTGCTATTTATCAGCCAATCCAAAACAAAGGGCTATTTATTAGCCAATCCAAGACAAGGGGCTATTTATCAGCCAATCTTCCTTGATGTTCATATCCCAGCTTCTGAGTTGAGTGCATGGTGTGACACTGTGAGCTACGAGTGTTTTTCGTTAACACAGGAGCGGAGCAACAATGGGGTGACCCGTTTGCTATGATGCTGAAACTAGGATTACCAGATCTTTTAGGACATCAGAATTCTTTTGTTTTTTGGTTCATGATATTCTGAGAATCTTTCTATAGCATTTCAGCTCAAAAGCCTCTATATTCTTCTTTAACTCTACCAGACCGCTATACCCCTTTTCTGGTAATTTCCTAATTTTCTGCTAAACTGCTGTACCTATTTTTCGGTACTTTGCGTACTTTATGATAAAACTGTCACAAACTAAAACAAAACACACAAAAAACACAAAAGAAATAGTGATCAAACTTCGTGGTTAGTCATTGCAAATGGCTGCCCAAGTGTATTTGGATTTCCTTTGTGTGGTTTAAAATGAAAAAAAATTATGAAATTCACAATGAAACAAGCGACTGATGAACCAAGCACATTGACAGGAAAGTGAAGTAGGTCTAGGTTCAGGGCCTTAGGTCTGGCAGGGCTAAAGACTTACAGGACTTGAAGCCTCGAATGTTTTCTTCATTTGCAGGGTGATTGTCATGGACAAGGGAAAGATAATAGAGATGGACTCCCCACAAGCATTGCTGGCCAATCCTCAGTCTGTGTTCTACTCCATGGCTAAAGATGCTAACCTGGTCTAGCTGCTGAAGCATGAGCCTAGTGCCTCTCTGCCATCGCACCTGAAGCAAATGCCTTAGTGTTTTGACGTTCTTTGACGTTAGTTATTTAGTTGGACGTTAGTCTACCTAAACAAAGTAGGTCACATTCCATTGACAAATTTGTTGGGCTGGTCTACTTTCATGCAGGTTACGGGTGTGCCGCTATGCTGTTTGCTTTCTGGATTGTTTCACATTTATGTTTTTTCTCTGAGAAAGAGCATGCCCGTGACATAGGTTGCAGCACTCTCTAAAAGGGTTTTGTGTTAGACCCAGTTTGTCCATGTTTTTAGATTGTTAAAAGTACTGGCATGCTTAAATATACAAGCGATATCAACGGCATTGAGGAACACCCCCGTAACCTTGTGCCAAGGTCGCATGGCTCAAGGTCAACCAGTCCGAAGTTAGTGAGGCTGAAGGTCGACTAATCAGAAGTGAGCAGGTGTGTAAAAGTGTGTAAATGGAGAGAGCAACGTAAAACTAACCCGTTAGTTTGAGTATTTCTAAATTATTTTAAATCATGTGGAAAATTTAACTGTACATTGAATTTGTGTATCTTTAAAAATGCTTTGTTTTTCTTAAAGTCCATGCTGTGGGGCGTTGGTAGTCATCTCTATCGACAACCTTCTGTCTCGTGTACTTTCAGTCAGCTCTGATACAAATGATCCTCCATGCCATGATGGCATGGTGATTATTTTTATAGCCTATTCCCCATCCAATGAAAAATGTGCAACTCATGAGAGACTTATGCTAGAGATGAACACTTGAGAGTGAAACTTCTATGAAACGTGTGCAATTGGGTGTTTTGAAAAGTTCTCCTTACTCAGTTTACTCAAGTCACTGTAAGCCTGCTGATTGTTTGCTTTGAATCAGTGTCTGTGCCCCATATCAGGTAAAAATGAAAACTAGACGTTTGTTTAAATTTTTATTTTAAATTCTTCATGACTTTTGGAATGGACTAAATTTTTAGTTAATATTTTGTGAAAATGCTTTTATTTATTTTTTTTAAATAACTGTTTTCCTAATTGGTGCCATAATTATTTTTATGAATGCTTCCTGTAAAATATAAACACTGACTGACATGAGACATCAGACAAGCTGAACATTTGCATTGTATCTTTCTTGATGAACAGTATTCAGTACAACAAGGGCATTTTCCTCGCACCTTGAGGCATTGTTCATTGTGCGTTGTTCATTCATCTTAATCGCGCATTGGACATGACCATAATTGCCCCGATTTCCTCCTGAGTGTCTCCAAGTGTTTTTTAGACTAACAACTAACTCCCATTTTGATCTGGTTGATGTAACGCCCAGTGGTTCCTGCATGGTTTTCCTGTTTCGCCGCTCCAGTTGGTACACCCAGGGTATGCAGTCTGTTCAGTGAAAATAAATCATTTTCCACGAAACGGATATCTTTTAAGTCTCTCGTTTGGCATTGATGGTGTCTCTCCTGTCCATAGAGGCATTCACTGGGTATATGGTACTTGCAGCATTTTTCCACAGACTGATCTGCATTCGCTGGGTGATGGAGCTAATGACTGGCACTGGTTGCATTGACTTTCTACAACATGTATTATATCCATTTTCAGACTGATCTTTGTCTGGTTGTTTTTGTGTGCCCAGGTCATATTTTTTTTTTTTTTTTAAACCAGTTTAATTGGGCTTTGACCGTGTAGCCACAGGACATTTTTCATGCCTGTCAGGCATATAGGCTAGACCTGTATTTTATTGACCAATCAGCACTTGGTGCTTGATATGGTCTAACATCAAGCCAGCCACCAGGACTTTTTTTGGGTACTTATTTAAGGCTGGGTTGACCTGGGAGCAAAGGTAATTTTTGACCCCAAAAAATATCTGGCTCTGTCAGGATTGAACCCATGACCTTTAGATCTTCAGGCTAGCATCTAGCCACTACACCACAGCGGCTTTTCATAGCCACCTGGTTGGTAGGAAAAAAGACGATATAGCAAAACTGGAGCTTAAAGGTCCTGGGTTCAAATCACCTTTTAAAATGTGCTTGTTAGGGAGCAGTGGGTCTCCTCTTGTTTCCCAAAAAAGCGGGCCATAGAACCCACACCCAGAACCCACACCCAGAACCTACACCCAGAACCCACACCCAGAACCCACACCCAGAACCTACACCCAGAACCCACACCCAGAACCCACATCCAGTACCGAGAACCCACACCCAGAACACATACCCAGAACCCAGAACACACACCCAGAACCCACACCCAGAACCCACATCCAGAACCGAGAACCCACACCCAGAACACATACCCAGAACCCAGAACACACACCCAGAACCCACACCCAGAACCCAGACAGGGAGTTTAAGTTACGAAAGATGCTGCCATATTAGCCTTACAGTGGCGGCTGTTGTCCATCCTGTAAAGTTTGTGGCACAGCTGTTTCTTTGTAGCCGATTGTAAGTTAGCCAGACTTCACAATAAAGCACGAGTTGGGAAACCTGGTTGTCCAGATTTGTCTGTGAATTTTATGTCATCTAAACTTGTTATGTATTCAATATGGCCGGTAGCTGGTTAATGTGTGAGCTGGTGAAATACCTTATGTGGTGATTCTACTTGTGTATAACCAACCTGTCGTGTCCAACTACTTTCATCAATGACAAACTGCATTTCTGGTGGCAACTGTTGGCTTTGGCACCTCTAGAGACTGCCATTTGTATTTACTGCGTGCACATATTTTTGGATTGTTCCGGGTCTAATTGTTTGTTCAACAGTTTTTCAAATGGGACAGTGAGGAACATTTCATTTGATTTTCACCGGCACAGGAACAGGGCAAGTATGGGGAAACCCCATTTCAGTGAAGTTGAAACCTCAACTACGACTCAAACTTGTTTTGTTGATGATAACATGTGTCTTCACCTTCATCAAGTGCCTTTTGTTGTGTGCATTCCACAGCTCCATTTGGAGAGGGGAAGTAGCCCCACTGCCATCCCTTCCTCCAATAAGTTTGACTTAAAAATAGGGATGATCCCTTCAAGGTCGCAGTGCATCTGTCTGAAAGGCATGGAACTAACAGTCTGCACACAGTTAAGCCAAATCTGTAAGAACAAATGTGCACACTAAACTAAACCTCTGGAACAAGATTAAGTCAGAAGTGGACGAACAACCAGAAACTTGCCACCAAAGTTTACTATCAGTGAACATGAACAGGAGGATCAACTGCTTTGCCAGTTGGCACTGGTGATCATGCCTCTTAACACGTGGCCATCTTGTACATCATTTATACATCCCTGTGCTGATACCATGCTATCTTCTTCTTCCCTATTCCTGTTCTGTCTTTCAGCTCCAGGTTGAATGTTGGATTACGAATCAACATCCAAGCAGTTGTGACACTTTTATAAGCACTCTGTTCCTATCTTCAGCAGCAAGCGAAGAGTTCAAATTTCAATGGTACAGTAACTGTCTGACTATATATCTGTCTCACCTTTTTCTTGAGTGGTGTGCGTCAACGTGATCTCTTGGGAACCCCCTGCAGTCCCATTCTCCTCATACCGTAATAATCTATCTGTGCCTCCGCACTGTTCACTCACTCCCAAAGGCCCCTCACAATGTCTCTCTTGTAGTACGTCAGTTCATCACCAAGTGATAGAGAATTGGCCAGTTTGCTCATGTCCCAACACACCAGCATGACTTGGAGACAATATCCAAATGTTGCTAACTGCCCGGGAGCTCTGAAACAATTCTGTCCACTTTACATGGAGCACACCTGTCTCCACCTTTCTCTTTCTAAATCACATCGGCTCGCAAGACTCAGGTTCTGGAACAAGACTAAAGTCCAGAAGTGGATGAACAACCAGAACTTAACCGGAGTTTACAGGCAGTAATCATCATCATCATCATCATCATCATCATCAGGTGCCTTGCCGACTGGCGTGGGCGATCATGCCTCTCCATAATCCGCGATCTCCTGCAGCATGTATCAGTTCATGTGCCGAAACACCTCCATGCCATGCAACAAGACTGTCAAGAAACTTCTCTCGTTGTCTTCCTCTATCCCTCCTTCCACAGATCTTTCCAGTGGTCACAACATGTTCTATTTTCCCTCTTCTCATAACATGGCCGAAAATGATGACTGTCTCCTTCTGATGTCAGTAAACATGCAGAAGTATAACAGAGATACACAGTTTATGAAGACAATCAGTGTAGTGTAGTTTATAAAGACAATCAGTGTAGTGTAGTTGATGAAGACAGTGTAGTGTAGTTTATAAAGACAATCAGTGTAGTGTAGTTGATGAAGACAGTGTAGTGTAGTTTATAAAGACAATCAGTGTAGTGTAGTTGATGAAGACAATCAGTGTAGTGTAGTTGATGAAGACAATCAGTGTAGTGTAGTTGATAAAAGAAGACTGTTGTAATTGTATTATGTTTTGTAAATGCCTCGAGTGCTTTAGGTTTCTGGTTCAATCCCCGGTAAGGGCTTGGAATTTTTCACGTGGAGACTGGACTTCCATTAATTCCCCTGGTCTCTGGGTAGTAAGGTCGGACGCCCGTTGTACTGTTGCACAAATACAAAATTTCTTGGCAGTTGGAAATCGAAAAGAGTAGCCTAACAGCGCTGCCTGGGCAAAATTTGGAGTTAAAAATTCTACCCAAAGTATTTCAGAATCCTCACCGGTGCTACATAGCATTTTGAGTTAAAAATCTACCCAAAGTATTTCAGGATTCTCGCAGGTGCTACGGAGCTTGTGCACTTTGCTGAGCTTCTTCTTACTTAGACTTGAGTTAAAAGAAGAACCGTGCACTTATGGGTTACTACCCGTGTGCTATAATGTTCATTCGTTGTTCAAACTTCAAACTTGTGAATCAAACGTTCACCTTTCTCAGCAAACTCTGTGAGTCAGTTACAACTGTGACTGTGTACAGCTGATTCTTAGTTCCGTAGAAGGTAGCAGTGACTCCAGGCTTTAGGTTTTGAAGAGGCATCTGGTGTGATAAATATGCTTAAGAAAAAATGTA